TGAAAGTACGCATAGGAGAACATAAGAGGGACATAAGAGCTGCCATTCAAAAAGGGACATGTGACAAACCAGTACCGAGGCATTTTCTACAGCAAGGTCATAATGTCAATCAAATACGTTTTCAAGTAATTGATGGTGTTAAACTGTTGCGTAGAGGTGGGGATAGACAAAAAGCACTTTTATGTAAAAAAACGAAATGGATCAGTATCTTGGAAACACTCCACCCGGATGGCTTGAACGAGGACTATGACCTTAAACATTTCTTGTAGAATGATTTAGAATACTACAATTCTGTTTAAACTTTTTATCTTTTGGTCCATAACTTTGGGCTAATTTATTACTTTATATCCACAGTTAGTCATTGGGACCCTATATGGCACGCCCGTCTCTTTTACTCCTTAAGAGCTACTAAAGAGGTTGACCATTTTTTGGTCCGTTACCCGAGAAATTATGGGGTCCAACATATGGGAAACCACAGGCACTTTTCACACATTACACTGCTGGTGAGTATGCGTAACAAATACATAATAAAAATATGATGTTTGAATGGGTGAATGGTTACCGCTAATTATCTGTTGCAATTATATTATATCTCAACGCTATATAACCTCTCACTTCTTGGACTCCGTTGTGACATTTTTTGAAGTGATGGTTCTCACTATAGTGACAACATTTATCTGAAGTAAATAAATGATGAGTATGCAAAGAGCTTCTCATCATCAGAAGAATAACCATACCAACCTAACTAGGAATTACACTAAGGTTATATTCCTGGATTAAGAAAAAAGATTTTTTTTACATTTCTAAAAAATCTTTTTTCTTTAAATATTTTTCTCTTTTTGCAATATTATTCTTTGCCATCATTTTTTGCAATTTTCTTTTAAAAATTTTTTTTTGAAAAGATGAACTCCAATATTAAGATGTGATTTATTGATCCATAAACTTTAAAATATAAAGGCAAAGATTTAGTCTGAGCCACACTTCTTTTATGTTAATGACTTTAACTTCTTTTTTTTGCATGACAATGATCAGTAGCTTTATTTTTGATCAGCTCAACCAGGTATATAATATGTCTTTAACCCCTGAGTATATATAAATATGATCAGTATTCCTTTATTGGTTAAGAATCCTATTATAATAATCAATCATCTAAATACTTCATGTTAATATGATTTTATGATTTTTTTGTTTTAATGTACATAGCTCTTTTCCCATGTAAATATACATGAGGGAACCTGTTCTTTCCCATACATGCAGACTAAGGTAAAAGAATGTATGTATATATATTATTATATTTTGTATGTAATGCACTAAACAAGTGAATTGGAACACATACATATGTGCAGGAATGTGGATATTTGCATAATGAAACGGCACACGTCGGGCATAGTTACCGGACGTGTGTGCCATGACGTCATACAGAGGCGACCCGCGGACGCGAGCGTCATGACGTCATCTAGGCGCGACCCGCGCATTCAAGCGGTCATGCCGAACTGCATAAAAGTTTGGGACTTTCACTAATCTTCTCTTCTGACAGGGCCATTGAAAGGATGTGTTTAGATCCCGAGCGCGCAGCCCGCCCATGAGACCCGGGACATATCTTGGTACCTCCAGTTCAAGTGGGGAACTTCTCTCTATATATAACTTGAAAAGAAAAGGAAGAATAGATTGATACTAACTACAGGGATTTCACCACTACATTTAGAGATACGGAGAACTGGACTACTGGATTTTTTCCTCCATTGGTGAAATCCACCCATATACTATAGTGTGTACACCCTGGTACTGTATATACTTATTTTTATTTTTTCCTTTTTGAATTTTTTTATTTTTTTCAATATTTTTTTTATTTTTTTTATTTTTTACTTTTTGTTTTTTTCCTTTTTTTCTCCTACTTACCCTACTTTTCTGGATGGCATATTTGTTTGGACTTTCAGATACAGCAACTCAGTATTTAACTTCTTGATGTGGTCAGGGACTCTCTTTAGTTAACATGGAGTTATAATAGTAGACTCACAATGCACTGTTTCTACTAAACTATATTGGTTTATTCCAGCGTGTATATATTATCAATTTAAGTGTGTACATATCATCAATTTTTCTAACTTTAGAGTATACCTTAACTAATGAATTATACTCATTAAAGATATTTAATTAATTAATGATTTATTAAATTCAGCGGTGAACTTTATCTTGAATTTTTGAGTGCAGTATCATTTTTTGCATTTTGTATATTTTGAGGCATTTTGGCCACCTCGATACTTTGCACCAATACGGATAAAAGAGTGCCTGTACATAGTATTTTTCTTTATTTATTTATATGCTAATCCATTGTAATTGTTCTTCTGTTTCATACTCGCATCAAGAAAGAGGAGGTAGCTTTGTTGTCAGTGACATATAACCTCCTACTACTCTTTTGATTGGTTGTTATGTTCTTATCTGTTTCTTTGCTGCTGTGGATAAATATATTCACCTCATATCATTAATACAATTAAAGGATCACTATAGAGTCAGGAACACAAACATGTATTCCTGACCCTATAGTGTAAAACCACCATCTAGCCCCTCTGGGCCCCTCATGCCTCCATAAATATTGCAAAATCTTACAGTATTCAAGCCAGAAGCTGTAAATCTGCATGCTGTTAGACTCAGAAAAAAAGCAGTCTGCTGACATCATTAGAAGTGGTAGCCTGATCCAATCACAGTGCTTCCCCATAGGATTGGCTGAGACTGACAAAGAGGCAGAACAGGGGCAGAGTCAGCATGATTCAAACACAGCCCTGGCCAATCAGCATCTCCTCATAGAGATGGATTGAATCATTGAATCTCTATGAGGAACGTTCAGTGTCTGCATGCAGAGGAGGGAGATACTGAATGTTTGGATGCATTTTAGGCAGCCATGACCCAGGAAGGATCTCTAACAGCCATCTGAGGAGTGGCCAGTGAAGTTATCACTAGGCTGTAATGTAAACACTGCATTTTCTCTGAAAAGACAGTGCTTACAACAAAAAAAGCCTGAAGGTAATGATTCTATACACCAGAACAAATTCAATAAGCTGTAGTTGTTCTGGTGACTGTAGTGTCCCTTTAAGATTATAGGTACATTAAACTAGCATAATCTACACTTTTAAAGCACCTGATTCAGGAGCTAGTGAGTAACACTGAAATATTGCTGCCATGTTTTACATTTTTTGACCTTTTTTATTTTGGATTTACTTTTTTTACACCTCATTCAAACCCAAATCCAGCTACGAATGCATGTGGAAAGATAAAGCTGACACAGAATAATAATTTATTTCCCCAATGGGTCAGTACGGCACAGTTAGGCAAAATCAAATTAAAATGATCAGTAGTCTCTGGGCAAGAACCTATCAAATATCACCTTCAAGTAAAAATAAAAATCCACTCCATAGGGCACTAAGTTATCAAAGAGTTCAGATGGCCTCCTGGGATCTAGAAGTAACTTGAAGGCTGAATGTTAGGGCAAATAACAGCAGCAACAGAAGGCAAGAACAGGAGAACTTGTTAAGCCATAACCAATTATCGTGGCCTACAATTTTAAAATTTCACCAGCTGCCACTAATTATAAGATATATACCTCCTCTGTGTTCAATATCTACTCGTATGCCACACCATAGCATTATGCATAGCAATCTACTTAGCTTCTTATAACTTCATTGAATTTTTTTCTTCTCTTCTAACTCCTTCACTACCAAAATAGAGTATAAACATATATATTTTCATGTATTTTGCAGTATGAAATTTAGTCCATAAAGCCTTACTCAACCTCATTTATACTCAAGAATGATTACTGTGACAGATTTTCATGTACTTACCTGTGTGCCTTCAGTTATACCTTCTCCCTGCTGTTTGAATGCCTGTATCAGTTCGTTTAAATATGTATGGAATTAATGTATTCATTTACCGAACGGAGACCACACACCCTGGGTAGCAATCAACATTAGAACGCAGAGAAAGCCGCGACTTAATTGCTACTAGGTGGCCGCCATTCGACATACGAACACGTGGCGAGAACAAAGGATGGCGGCCATCTTAGAACTCACGAATGCGGTCAGCAGGGCTTACGCATGAATTGCCTGGAACTAATTTCGGCACGGCAAACATGCGAACGCCCGGTCCCCATGGAAGTCCTGGATGAATACGTTCTCCTCCACGAATCAAACTGGCGTTCGGTAGATAGAATCTACCGAATTAGGGGAACATTCACATGTAACCAGCTGCACCATACGAACGGTGGTTTTCGTGTAGTTCGATGCGAATGGAGACCGGCTCTTGCTACTGATTCTATGGAACTCTAGATCGGATACCTCCACATGGCGAGCCAGTCAAACTTCCACACGAAGCGACACGGAAACTACCGAACGGAAATTCGTGAGATTTGGATATATGACTACCTCAGCTACCCAGGGATGTTAAAATTATGTTTGTATGTAATATAAAAAGTACTTTTCTGAACTTGTTGAAAACTGTAATGTTTCTGGCCAGCAGATAATTGAGCTTTGTGTATTGTAGAAACTCAATTATCTGGCCTGGCCCAGAGGAGGAGTTCTGTGTGCCAGTAAATCAGACTTGTTCCAGCATTAAGCCTTGGCTCATGGGTGGATAATTTGGCGATTACAGCGATATTTCTTCTCTTGGATTATTGGGATTACTCTGCTATTGGGAAAAGGAAAATTAGACGGTGATATTGACTACTACCGTCACAACTGGTGGCAAGCGGCGGGATTTTCCCTTCTTTTTCCCTGCACAGAGGATTCAAGGACGGCACTAGTGTATTCTGCATGGAGAGCAACGCAATCACTTGTGCAGCGACCCTGGCTTCAGAGGAACTCCAGGGATAGAGCTAGCTACGGGCAGCGTCCCTATCCACAGCAACATGGAAGAGGAGTTTCGCTGGAGGTTGCAGCAGCACTTGGCCTAACAGGAAGGGCCTGTATCAGAGGAGTGCATACTGGACTGGAGAGATGTCACTCGTACAGAGTTGTGGTACGATGCTCTGGAAAAAGTACAGCGGTGGCGGGGAGAGAACCTTCCCAGTGACGAGCAGTGGTTCCAGGTACTCGTGGCCCTGCGCTCCCCTTTCTTAGGAGAGCAACCCGTGGATGAATGGATGTTGGAACTCTGGGATTTAATTTGGAAGGAGTTGTGGCTGGATGCAGCTTACCGGGCATTAAAGTGGTACGCTACCCAGCGCAACCCCTGGATGACTAACCACTATCTGCCCGAGGGAGAGGACTATAATGGCCCGGGCTTACTGTGGGAGGCATTTGAGGAGGGCGATGACTTTGGATGCCCCACAGAATTTCAGGTCTGGGACATCCACAACAAAAGGGAAACCCTGCTGGATCTTCCCCGATCAGACGACCTGGGGCCAGACCTGATGCATCTGGTCAAAAGGGAGTGGGAGCTGGAGCAGAACTACCAATGCCTGTTCAACTTAGCCCAACCACCGTCCCTCGGCCCAGGGGATTACCTGGACACCATACCCTCTTCTGTCCAACCAGCCCCAGAGGTGAGCAACCTTATAGAACAGTCCTGGGAACACACACAGATGGCAGGTGGAGATGGGACTGAGGTCTCTCCACCGGCCCTACAGGGATGCTGGGTATCCGGCCCACATCACCAGCTGCAGTGCATCTCACAGGGAGAGGAGACAACCAGTCTCTCTTCCCAGTGGCAGCCTGAGTTCCAGGAGGAGGTGATGGTAGATCCCTCCACCTTACAGCAACCAGCATCCTGGGGAGGGGAGGCAACCGGCCTCCCTCTCCCACAGCAGTCGGAGATACCAGAGATGAGGTACCTCATAGACTTGTCCTGGGGACACACACAGATGGCAGGGGGAGATGGGACCGAGGTCTCTCCACCGGCCCTACAGGGATGCTGGGTATCCGGCCCAGATCCCCAGCGGCGGTGCATCTCACAAGGAGAGAAGACAACCGGTCTCTCTTCCCAGCAGCGGCCTGAGTTCCAGCAGGAGGTGATGGTAGATCCCTCCACCTTACAGCAACCAGCGTCCTGGGGAGTGGGGGCAGCTGGCCTCCCTCTCCCACAGCAGCCGGAGATACCGGGTGAGGGGGAGAACAACCCTAACCACACTGGCACAGATGGGACCGCAGTCTCTGTGCCAGTCCTACAGGGATGCTGGACGGGCGGTCCAGATCCCCAACTATCCCTGCAGGGATACCAGGAGGAGGAGGTAAGCAAGCCCTCTCCTCCACGGCTTCAACCCGATCGTGTCCTGGGGGCAGTGGATGAACCTGCAATACCCACTGATCCCCTCCCAGCAGAAGAGCTGGCACCTGAGCAGAGCGCTGCTGGCCTCTGCCCTACCCTGGTACCTTGCCCAGAGCCTGACGCCCTGCAGGCTCTCCCAGTGGAAGAGCTGGCACCTGGGCAGAGCACCACTGGTCTTTGCCCCCCAAGTAGCCCCAGCTTTTTCCTTAGCTGCACCAGGGAGACCGAGGATGCTGAACTGTCCCGCTACAACCTGGGACCTACAGGCCAGTACCGTGTATTGTGGGGGGGCTACTCTGCTGATTTTTCTTTGTGCTTGGGCTGCTTGACTAACCTGGGTCCTGACAGACATAAAGACAGGCATCTGCGCACCTGGAGAGGACTACTAGCCGGCCTCCTACCATGGGACCATGGTCCCGGGGAGGGCTGGCCCTTTAAATACTGTATGTAGACTGGCTCACCAAATGGACTTATTCTTGGACTAATGGCGGGAAGTCCCGTCAACCCTACTGGACCAGGAAAGGTCGAACCAAGTTGCCGGAGCAGGGAGAAAAAGGGGGGCCATTGTGAAGGATTTTCATGTACTTACCTGTTTGCCTTCAGTTATACCTTCTCCCTGCTGTTTAAATGCCTGTATCAGTTCGTTTCAATATGTATGGAATGAATGTATTCGTTTACCGAACGGAGACCACACACCCTGGGTAGCAATCAGCATTAGAACGCAGAGAAAACCGCGACTTAATTGCTACTAGGTGGCCGCCATTCGACATACGAACACGTGGCGAGAACAAAGGATGGCGGCCATCTTAGAACTCACGAATGCGGTCAGCAGGGCTTACGCATGAATTGCCTGGAACTAATTTCGGCACGGCAAACATGCGAACGCCCGGTCCCCATGGAAGTCCTGGATGAATACATTCCCCTCCACGAATCAAACTGGAGTTCGGAAGATAGAATCGACAGAATGAGGGGAACATTCACATGTAACCAGCTGCACCATACGAACGGTGGTTTTCGTGTAGTTTGATGCGAACGGAGACTGGCCTTTGCTACTGATTCTATGGAACTCTAGATCGGATACCTCCACATGGCGAACCGGTCAAATTTCCACACGATGCGACACGGAAACTACCGAACGGAAATTCGTGAGATTTGGATATATGACTACCAGTATCCTCAGCTACCCAGGAAAAAAATAATGTTTGTATGTAATATAAAAAGTACTTTTCTGAAATTGTTGAAAACTGTAATGTTTCTGGCCAGCAGATAATTGAGCTTTGTGTATTGTAGAAACTCAATTATCTAGCCTGGCCCAGAGGACGAGTTTTGTGTTGCATAAATTGTGAGTTCTGTGTGCCAGTAAATCAGACTTGTTCCAGCATTAAGCCTTGGCTCATGTGTGGATTATTTGGCGATTACAGCGATATTTCTTCTCGTGGATTATTGGGATTACTCTGCTATTGGGAAAAGGAAAACTAGACGGTGATATTGACTACTACCGTCACAATTACCACTCTATAGAGGAACACATTTGTCTACCAGAAGTCAGTAGTCACTGCCTGTAACACTAATCAAGGCGTGCAACTTTGCTGAAAATGTAAACTCATCCCTGCTGACAAACAGTAAAGGAAGTTTTGATTGTTCCTATAATTCCTACAGCCAGGGCAAGGGAGGAGTGATTGAACTCTACTATTTCACTGTTAGCACTGCAATAACAGTTCAGAGATTGATAAAGATTGCTATAGCAGTTTGAACTATCATTAATTTAAAAATGAATGATTTAATTGTGCTCAAATGCACACATTCTGTTTTACATTATGTTGTTATTTTCAGCAAGATGCACTGTGTCTGGAATGGAGATACAATAACGCGCAAACCTAAACAAAACAGTAAAGACATACCTGTCCTTAGAGTGGCTAGGCTAGTGCCTGAGAGAGATAAATGCCTGCAAGCAGACAGAGAATAGACAAGAGACAGGCCTAGGTCTAGCATACCAGATATACACAGAATCGATAGTCAGACCAAGGTCAGGATAATAAGAGCAAGATTATAGTCAAAGAAGTCAAGGTCAGAAAACAGTAACTCTAATACACTGTATAAACACATTCTCAGGTAACAAGAACCATGAAAAGGAGCAAGGAAAAAAGGACAACCAGGAAGTATATATACCCTATACTGGGTTTTGATTGGTTACTCAGGGCCATGATGTCACAAGAGTGTATACATCATCAAAAAGTGCCATATATGCTGACATTTTAAATGGAGACCAATGTAAGGGTTCCATGTCACATATGATGTCATAATGAGTCACCAGGAAGCTAGGGATGAGTGGGTGTACATCATAACACAGAAGAGACATCATTTCTGTAATCGCATGGGACATGTATCGTGACACACTTTTAGTAATGCCTTCAGTGTCATTAACAGTACCTATAAGCAAGGAATTTATCTCTTTTTGTCATACCTACTGTATGTAAGAAAAAAATAAATTGTTGCTTTTATATTAATAGTACAGATGGTATTGTGACATATTGAAAGATAAAGGCCACTGTATGCTGTTTAATGCTTTTCATTTCCCAAATATATTTTATAAAGACTGAATGAATAAGTGAAATATAGCAATTGTGTAAATTTACATAATTTTAATTTCTATGTTTGTCTGCAAAGCAATTTATACACACAACTGCTGTGTTATGATATGTTTAGATGCTAGCTATGCATCCCTGGGTCTAAATGAATGCTATGCTAACATTTTTTACAATCAAAATGTGCTCTGTAGTGAAGGGGCTAATGAAAACCATTTCTCATTGGCTTACATAATTTAAGAGTATTTACTCACATTTTAGTTAGATTTATTACTCCACGAACCCAAACCCTTTGTTGAACAGTCCCAGTATTCTGATGCCCCAAACTTCCCTCCTATTGTCCCCCTCCACCCCCATTTTTTTATAATTGCCCCTCTCTCCCACTACCCACATGCTCTTGATCTAAAATGTTGTTCCCAGGAAACAGCAGAGAATGGAAATTTAAAAGGAATGTAGGCAAGCATGACAAGTCACCATATGGGCAGTCGGAACCTTGGACAAAAAACCCCCACATACCTATCCCAATAACACGCTGACACTAGGGTATATGGGTCAAAATTGTCCACAGCTTTTATTAAACAAATATAATAATAACAATAATAAAATTAATAATAATAACAATCATAATAATGATAATAATAATTTAACATATAAACATGGGTCATTGTCCCCATACTCCGCCCTTGCATCCGTATCCTTCTTTTAATATAAAAGGCAATGACTCCAACATAACTAACACATATATATATATATATAACAATTTTCAACCTTACTCCAACATAACAAATTTAAGTGCCAACCATAAGTAACCCGGATACCCCTACCCCACCAGGTTCTGAGCCACCTCCAGGACTCGAAACCTACCAACCACCAGTGACCACAATTTTTCCATGTTCATCACGTTCCTAATGGGAGCCTATTGCCTCTTCCTCAGCTCCCTATCCCGCCGCTGTGACAAAACGGGATTACCCCCATTTAACCAAATCCTAGGGAGGGTGGGTGGGACAAACTCGACCAGGTAGGAGATTAAATGTCCTCATTCCAAAATGGCTACCTATATAAGTAGACAAACCCCATTTTCCCACAACCCACCAGTCCTAGCCGTTTCCTCCTAGGCCCGCCTCCTAACCTCTGTCAAGGCCCTTTTCTGCTAAGCTGTGCTTTGGCTACATGGGGTTACAAGACTTTTGTGGACTTGCTAGCTAAAAATAATTAATTTAAAACTATTTTTATTTTTAATTTTTTTTACTGTGTAAATGATCTATCTCTTTAACACCCCAACATCATCTTGTAAATATGTGGAGGTTTGGCATATCCCCCATTTCAGCACCCTCAATGCATCAACCTCTTTCTCCTCCACCAGTCACTTGGTAGGCATGGCTGCTTCAGTGTATTCTGTCTATAAGACTCTGTAATTAGGTCCACCATTGTAGCGGAGATCCAGTATTCCACAAGTTATCTCCGCTTAAGATCCCAGTGAGGCTCAGGAACAAGTAGTTATAAATCCATAAAGCAAGGTTTCCAGCAGGTAAAACAATATAGCAATATCCCAACAGCAATCCCAATAACTGGACGACACACAGCATCAGGAGCAGAACTAAAACTTTTATTTCACAGTGGCCTTATAAAGCATGCTCCCATGCAAGAGCAGGATTTTCATTAATTAATACAGTATCCAATCCTGTACTAGTAACCTCCCACACATCTCCTCCCCTCAACCTGACTCATAACCCCTTATACTGTACACAAATTCCCCCAGTTTCTGGATGTAGCCCTAAACCTAGGGGTACCCCTTTAAATGGCACATCCCCTGGTAGCCCTGATCTGGGTGAGCAACATATCCAAAAATCACCCAGATCGGACCAGGGGTTCGGGAAATTCGTGGAGGGAATAAAAAGACTGACCGCGCTGGAGAGAACAGCCGAATTGGGCTCCATGCGATGGGGCCCTGCGGTTGGTCACAGTATAAGGGAATGAATTGCATGAAAGGCTAAGGCTACAGAGATCAGGTAGGGTTCGCATGAATCCCCTCATTCGGTTGTTTCTGTCTACCGAACGAGGGGCCGTTCGGTAATTTGGAACCGAACGGACCGGGCTTGTGGAGGTTTCAGCGGTGTTCGCCCAGTCGAGTGTCCGATTTGGGTTCCAGACACTCGACGGCAAAACACCGCTGTTCGGGAGTTTTAAAATGGCCGCCGCCACGTGTTCATTTCCCGAATGGCGGCCACCCCGAGAACAAAGGACCTACTGACTCGGCTTGTTAATTACCCATTCGCAACATTGTTGCAACGGGTAATTGAAGGCACACTTCACACAGGGGAGGTCTGACTGTTCGATAGTTTCATTCCCTTAGTTTGTTCGAATGATTCTACTGAACAATCAGACAAATACACGTTATTTAGACACATATAAACCTGCAATTTACACAAATACAGTTACACATATGCAATTTTCAGGACAGCCCAGTGCCATCCGCTACAACCATAATTATCAGCACCAGGCCCAATAGATCCTTAATCTAGCACTGCATTGCATGATGTCAACATTGCTGAGTTTAGGAATAAAGCACCCTCCACTTGCTTATTTTGTCCTAGACATGCAGGATTTTATTGTTTGACAGTTATTGTTATAAAAATGAAAATAGTTTATCACTAGTGTTTATTTTAAATAAATCTTAAATTAACACTGAATGAACTATAACCATTTCATCACACTGAACTAGTTTAATTCATAGAGTCTCCATGCTGGAGGTATGGATTAGACATAAATTACACATTTCCTCCAAGCCACAGCAGTTTATGCCAAAATGGCTGCTGTGATAGGCTGACAGTGCTGACATTCAGCCAATCACAACCACCCATTGATCCTCGTTTAACATTAAAACATAAAAATTTCTATGAATTGACCATCCATCCACTGGCGAGACAATGGGTGGAACTGGAGAGCTCGGTATTCACAGTACCCCTTTATACAATCCCATGGCAAAAAGCAAACCAAACCGCACTTCTTAACCAACACACATCTCATCCCACTATACCCCCTACACTTTCCCATAGGCCTCCAAACAAATTCAAAACATAAGACCCATAGGCCTCCAAACAAATTCAAAACATAAGACCAAAGATCCACCAACCAGTCCTCTCAGATTCATTCCCACATTTCGATAGGCTTAATACCATAAACCAAACACAACATAACACTCTGACATCAATGGAGGTTTACTCACGCCTTAATAACAACTGGAACAATATTATGAAGGGCAATAGATGACCTAAATGTGATAAGATTCATAATGGTGTAGTATCTTTTTTTTTTTGTCAATCAGTTTTTGATTGAGATAGTGGCAAGTTATACAAGACATGTAGTACCAGCGTAGGACATAGCAAACAGATTAATAATAGACAGCATATAGTATAGGCCTAGCCGGTAGAAGCAAGTATCTAATTTTATAATTATGTAAGAAAAGTTAACTATCGCATGAATAAGATGCCAACGTGAACAGATTGGATCTAATGAATTATGTGAGGCAAGTAAGCAAGGCTTGTATAACACCACAGTGATGTAATAAATGGCATCTATATAGTAGCATTCTGTAGTAAGAGTCATATGGAGTTTAGAGGGCCAGTGTAGGCATGTATAAGCAGGCAGAGAGAAAAAACAAACAAAAAAAACATTCCAGGCACCCATAAAAGTAAATTATAGTAAATTAAAGAAAATCAACTGCAGGGTTTTCGGACTGAACCTGCTGCGGTTGATCCCAACCACCGTCTTTCTGGGGCATGGAACGCCCTCTTGGAGGATCCACTAGACTTTGCAGCCTGCACCCGCCATCACGGCATTGACATCGGGCAGATGAGTTCCCAGTACTTCACCATCTCCCGCGTGTTGGTTTTTCCTCTTGCTTTGATTCTGATGAGATGCAGGCCACTGTGGCATTATCTCTAGCTCGACACTTACCTCCAGAGTCACTTGCAGTCTCCGCCAGAATGCAACCCAGTGCTGATCAAAGTAAGCCAGCAGTTCATCACATAATTGTGCGAGATCAGCATGGCTTGTAAGGGTTGTTGCAGTACCAGCAGCAGCCATCTTAGGTATGTTGAGTAGTATTGCCTATGCCCAAACCCTGGGACATGTTAGCATGTAGCAGCACTGAGGTGGACCGGGATGACCCCCACCAGCCCAAAGGGGGGTGGAGGATTTGCAAGGCCCTTTAGGATGACAAGGCTGGTGGACTGGCCCTGCATCAACCGCCAGGCCGTAGGACAGTCCAGCCACTATAGTAGCATCGGGAGAGTCAACGGTGACCCAACTCTGCTTCTGCAGGAGCACTGAGGAGAGGGTAAATAAAATTTCTGGTCAGCTCAGCAGAAATCGTAGGTATATGGCTTAAAATCAGCTAGTAACTCAGGGCTCTGGGTCGATTCTGAATCTCAGTGCTCTGTATGGCAGTCAGGCTCTGCCCCAAGTGTAGTATCTTATAGGGATACGGTGATTCTTATTTTTCTTTAATTATAATTGGAGAATAGATTATTAGGTTCCCATATTTTTTTACCATAATCCCATGATTGAACTTTATCTTGCACCCCCCCTTTTTTTTTTTCCTCAACACGCTGCTCTTGGCTACTAATTTTTACACGTGTTTGTATGGCTTCAACACCATGTCTTTTGTTACATACTAGTTGTTCCCATCCATTGCATTATCTTTTTGTCCAACTTTTTTTTTTGTTTTGTTACTTTCTTATTAAATTTTCCACCAATTTTTTTTATGTTTCATTGCATTCCAGCAGTTTGTTGACTCTGACCTTGGCTGGCACCATGTCTCCCTCAATACAGAATATACAGAATTAGGCTTTTCAATGCCCTGACATGTGGAATGGCTTCTAAAGGGCAGAAACTTTGTCTTTAACCTTTGCCGGCATTTCTGCGCTTGGAAAGGCATCCGTTTTCCCACATCAGAGTCTCCTCAAGCTGCCCTTATCAACTTCACTCCTGCCTCTTTTTTTTTTTTTTACTTCTTCTTCTAGGGCCTGAATTAATTCTTCAGAAAAAAAGATAAGGTAATTTATTCCAAAATATGTTTTCTGAATAATCATAAACTGTAATAGGATGTGAGCTTCTTGCTACTAGAGATCTAAGCACTGCTGGAATCAAAAGGAAATGTATTTAACCCAAAAACTGCCAGACTAATGTTTGCAGTTATAAAATTAACCCTTAGGTTTACCTGCCACCATTCTGAATGGCCAGAGGGATGCTTACTTTATTCTTAGTGAGCAAGGGTCAGTTTCTCTCTGTAACATATTCTTCCTCACCTTGCGGTCACTACACCCAGCGGCCGTGCGTCTGCATGACTGACCCTTGCGGCATGTTAACGGATGCCGGCCACTGCGGATCCACGGCAAAATATACTCCCATGTCCGCTCACGTCAATGATGATGTTTTAGGGTCAAAGACTGATTTTGGACAGCAAAAAAATGGGTTGAAATTGGCTGATTTTGGCCAAACAGAAGATTTGAACAGGTATTTAAGCCTCATTATACTTGGCACTCATTGCCCTGTCGTGGTTTCCCTAGTGGTTGTCCGAGAGTGCGTTATTGATTCTGGTTATTCTTTGGTATGTTAGTACGGCCATTCTAAGGCCGGTAATACGTTACCTATCAGTTACCTATCAGTTACCCGTGTTACACAATTCTACGTGCTGGATCATTCAATAATCCTGACACTCTCCTCTAAGCAGGACTTATCATGCTGCTATCCGTTTTCTATACAGTTAGACATGCTTACTGCTGTCTGTAGAATACACAGGGAACACAGTGTACTGCACATCGAAACATGTTGTTATGCTAGTTCCTTGAGGAAAACCCCAATAGAGTGTGGTATAAGGCTTTTACAGGGCATTTGCTTCCATTCAATAGATGCAGTCTGCTCACGGGACCACTTGCTCTTGTTTAAAAGATAAATAAATCTCTATTTAGCCAATAGTACAATAGGTTTGGTACATTCTGGGTAAGAGCATCAGAATAAGAGCTAAGATGTACAACATTATGAGGGTTCAAAGTTTTCAAACTTTTTAGAACAAATAAGGGTAATATACCCTATTTTAAACAATAAAAATAACCAATAGGAAAAAGCACAGAAAAGATAAGAAAGGTTTCCTTTCCATCAAGAAGCATAAGAAGGGTTGTACTTCTCCATCGAGAAGCACAACCCAATGCACCCAAAGCAAACTCTTTACAAAATGTTCTGACAATGATAGGACGAGGTAGAATTATGGACCAAAGTATTAAGTTCATTCATAAATTTACTCTCAGCAACCAAAGAGTGAGAAGTGGCATCCCTAAGCCATGCGGCAACCAGAGCCCTGTGGGCAACGAGAGTGACCTTATTCATCAGTTTTTGCAGGTAATTGGTAAAGGCCACTAAAGAGTGTTAGAAAAGGGATCTAGGTCAACGGATGTATTAAAATAGCAAGAAATCAGATTTCTAAATTTCTCCCAGTAGAGAGCAAGTTTTGGGCACATACACCACATGTGAATATAGGACCCTATTAGGCCACAGGTTCTCCAGCAAATGTCTGTAGTGGTACTTCCTTATATAGAGTGACTGGGTATACCTCCTCATTATAATTTTATACATTTGCTCTTGGAATTATACACATACCAAGACTTTGGAAGCTGCCCCACAAATTTCTTGCCATTACTCTCCATCAAAGAACCATTTTTCCATGTATGCAGGTAAAGCACACACAGCAGGAATAAAGATGTACTTGAAGGCAGGCCCGGACTGGCCATCGGGCACACCGGGCAAATGCCCGGTGGGCCGCGGTGTCCATGGGCCGAGGCCGGCAGGGGAGATCACAGGATCTCCCCTGCCGGTCTATGCAGGGCCGGCGCTATCCGAGCGCCGGCCCCGCTGTCTTCCATGGAGGGCCGGTGGGGAGATCAAAGATCTCCCTCACCGGCCCACATGCATTCAAACGCGGCCGCCGGCGGGGAGAGAGGGAGGGAGCCAGCCGCCAGGAGAGAGGACCCGGCGGAGCTCTAACTTGCAGCTCCTCCGGGTTTCTCTCGCGAGATCCGGACCGTTGCTATGGCAACCGGCCGGGTCTCGCGAGAGTGAACTCTAGCCCCAAAGGGCTAGAGTTCACTAACCACGAGGACCACCAGGGATGGCTGGCAGCAGCACGACCCCCCCACCCCCCACCTTCCAGACTACAGGTAAGAATAGAGGGGGGGGGGATATAATGTATTTATTTTTATTATTTATTATTAGTATTTCTTAGTATGTATTTATTTTTATTATTTATTATTAGTATTTATTATTAGTATTTATTAGTATGTATTTATTATTCATTATTGGTATTTATTATTAGTATTTATTATTAGTATTTATTAGTATGTATTTATTTTTATTATTTATTATTAGTATTTATTAGTATGTATTTATTATTTATTATTAGTATTTATTATTAGTATTTATTAGTATGTATTTATTTTTATTATTTATTATTAGTATTTATTAGTATGTATTTATTATTTATTATTAGTATTTATTAGTATGTATTTATTAGTATGTATTTATTATTTATTATTAGTATTTATTAGTATGTATTTATTTTTATTATTTATTATTAGTATTTATTATTAGTATTTATTATTATGTATTTATTTTTATTATTTATTATTATTATTATTTATTATTATGTATTTATTTTTATTATTTATTATTATTATTTATTATTATGTATTTATTATTATTTTTAGTAAATAATAATAGTGCCATTTACCTGCCTCCCCCAATACAAAATCCTGGCAAACACACACATCACCCTCACCCAGCACCCTAACACATACACAGCACCCTAACACACACACAGCACCCTAACACCAGCACCCTAACATTGACACAGAACCCTAACACACACACAGCACCCTAACACCAGCACCCCAACACACATATAGCACCCTAATACCAGCACCCTAACATTGACACATCACCCTAACACACACACAGCACCCTAACACTCACACAGCACCCTAAAACACACACAGCACCCTAACACCAGCACCCTAACATTGACACAGCACCCTAACACACACACACACACAGCACCCTAACACCAGCACCCTAACATTGACACAGCATCCTAACATTGACACAGCACCCTAACACATACAGAAACCTAGCACACACACACACACACATCACCCCAACACATACACAGCAACCCAACACACACACAGCACCCCAACACACACAGCACCCCAACACACACATCACCCTCAAATACACAGCACCCTCAAATACACAGAACCCTCGCACAGTGCCCTCACACACAGCGCCCTCACACACAGCACCCTCCCACACACACTATACTCCTCACAAATGCACACTACACCCCTCACACACACAGCACCCCCCAAACACACTGCACCAGTCACACACTCACTAGATCTCCTATACGCACTCCTGAGTCCTTCAAACACACACTAGATCCCCTACACACAGACGCTGCACCACTTACACACACACTACATTTCTGACATACACACTCAGGATCCCCTATGAACACACTAGATAATCCTTTAAGCAAACACATAGTGTCTCCATAAATGGGATACAGTGAGTATTCCAATTATGGAAACCCCTGAGACAAGTTTCAAGCAAACACAATGCAAGCATGTTATTAAATTTGCTTGCGCTGTGCAGATCAAATACAGGGCCCTTTTCTCATGCCCTGGAAGAGCATTGAACCAACATGCTCACTTTGAGATGGGGCGTGCTTGTCATTGGGGATGACAAAACACACCCTATCTGGCCCCGCCCCCTTTTCAGTGGGCCGCTGTAATTAAAAATGCCCGGGCCGAATTTTTTCCCCAGTCCGGCCCTGCTTGAAGGTATAAACATGAGGTATAAAGATGTACTTAGTTCTCTCTGTGGAGTTTCCCTAACACACAGGGATTCAATTTCAGTTGATCTACTAGTTGTAAGTATCTAAAAAAGTCTCCACCTAGCATTCTAAGCTTTTAATGAATCAAAGATGATAGCAGTGTCCGCCATCTGTACATTGCAGAGCCTCTGGAGACCTGCCTCTTCCAGAGTACAAAAGAGCCTGGCATGTAAGCAAGGGGAAACCGGAGAACTTAAGAAAAGGCGTAAGCAGAGACCATTTAGGGAAAAGTTCCATCTTAAAACCTGTTGAGGATAGAAGGATAGCCTATACGTCAGAGCGGCCTCTAGTCCCTGGGAACTCACATAAAGAAAGGAGAAGGAGATTTATTTTAATACATGCCTTCTGCCAATCCAGGAAATAGGATGTTTGTGCCTTTTTTCAATATAAATATCATAAAGAGGAAATAAGGGAGGCTCTATTTTTTTGCATATGTCCATGATGGATCACCTGTTAGATGAACACCTAGGTGTGTAAGTGGCAGACGAGTCAACTGAATATGGAACTCAGAGCAAAGCAGATCTGTGTCTGATGGCAACAGATTCAAAGTCATGGATTTATCTAGGTTAATTGTATACTTTACAGATCTTTAAACAAAGCTAAGAGTTCAAATAAGTTCAAATAATTGTCTAGGGTTCATTGGTGTGAGCAGAATATCATTAGCATATAGTCAGAGTTTTTAGTGGGAGGAGCCTTGAGTGCAAAAATTGAATGAAGAAATTTAAACATAGTGTCCAACTCTCCCATAAAACTACTGTGATCGGTGGACGTTGAAATTTCAACCAAATCCACAAGTTGCTGCACCTATGAAGGAGATGGAACTCAGTGATTTGTGACACTCAGGGAAAGATGGCCACCTTGGAACAGCCTCATACGACTGACCCACATTGGAGGCCCCAATCCACGCCAACATGGTAGCTCAAAGAGAGTATGAGTTGCGGTGGGGGAGAGCCAGGTAAGTTGGTGTTAGATAGAGAAGGGTGAGACCCTGACATATATATATATATATATATATATATATATAAGCTGAGAGTTTGTACTCGGTGCCTACATTAGTTAGTCCTTTGATGCCCTAGTGTTATCTAATAAGGCACTAGGGAGAAGGCGAATAACGGTGTGGACAAGGGGCAGCTATGCCTTTTGCTGTTATAAATTTTAAAGGGGACTAGCAGAGCCAATCTGGAGTGGGTGCAGACCACCCAGGTGCTCTATAAACAGACTGGGTGTTCAGTGCTAGAATCTGTCCCCTCAAGTAGATCCCACCCCCTCTTGTTAGGTCCTCACCCCCTCTAGCAGTACAGAGGGGCATGGGATTTACCTGAGGGGGCATAGCTTAACACTGAACAGCCTGCCTATCCACAGAGCACTTGGGCAGTCTGCACCCAACCAGGATTGACTCCGTAGACTGTGTTGCCTCCTATAGTAAGCATTTGACCTTGTGGGATTACAGGGTTGAGGTTACAGGGACTCAATGGCTCTATGAAATGAAACTGTTAAACCCATGAACACAAGAAGTCAAAATCAGTAAGGCCACTCCAGTCTATCAAAGAAAAGAGCAGAGAAGGTGTCCAATGGTGAACCACTCACCAAACCTACCTGATGGTAATATCATAGGATTGTAGAGTTGGGATAAATCTGACCTGATTCAGAAGCACAATGTGACACAATATCCCCAAACGTCTATTCACAAGATTTTTTTGCCATACTTTTTACCTCAGTATTAAGAAGAGAGATCAGCCAGTAATTTCAGCGATACTTGGGGTCTTTGCACTCTTTTGGAATGAGGACAACATTGGCTAGGGTGGCTTCAGAATGGGAACCGTATCCCTTCAAACCATTATTATACAGTTATAAAAGATGTAGGGCCAAAACCGCACAAAATGTTTTGTAGTAGGCAGGTCCATGCCCATCCTGAACAGGTATCTTGTTACTTTCTAAGGTGAAGAGCAATATCTGTGTGATCAAACCAGTTGATGCTATTGATTTCAACATTAAGAACATCATACAACAACCCAGAGAGACCAAAAATAGATCTATCCTCATTAGTTCTCAGATGTTGCATTTGCCAGGGGTCCAAGAGTTCACATTCTGAGTAAAAATGATGTAACAGTTTGTCTTGTGTATCCTTACTAAGGGATCTAGGCAATCGAACATGTTCATATTGATCATGTTAAAATCATCTTCCAGTACCAGTAGATTTATCATTAAATTCTTAAACAGGTTATCCTAAAATTGCAAGTCCGGGGCTGTCAGGATGTAAAGATGGTTCTAGACCCCAAAGTGCCCACCATCAATATTTGCCTGCCATCCCTTGACAGGCTCCCAGTCGGATTTGCCGGCATATGCACTAACCTTACCCAAACCCCCATTAAAACTCGGACACAGGTTATACTGTTGGAAATAATTAGTCCAAAGCTTTATTAAATTATTAATAAAATAATTAAGGAATAACAAATGGGGTCATTGCCAACAAATCTTATTAAAGTTAACATCCCCCCATATACATAACATACCCCTAGCAATGACCCCACAATAATAAAAATAGATAACAATCTAAATAACATGTTAATACAGAAACTGGCCGCCCAATATGACCACATTTCCACCAGGTTAAATTGTAGGGGTGTACCGAGACACCGCTACCCACCATATTGATTGTAGGGGTGTACCAAGACACCGCTACCCACCATATCCATTGTAGGGGTGTACCAAGACACCGCTACCCACCAGTTCCAGTGTAGGGTGTACCAAGACACCACCACACCCCCAGGTTCGGAGCCACCGACGGGCTCGAACCTACCAACCACGTGCAACACTGCCCAATCCACACTAAACCTCAGGATGCCCACTTTCTCCTCCATCTACCCTCCGATTTAACCAGGCCATTCCCCGCCACAGCTCAGGACTTGACACCTAAAGTTCCTGAGCGACCCCCACCACACTGGAATAAGGCCTGTTGAATTCCTTCCTGAATGCCCAATTTAAACAGATCATACCTTACATCTGAAAACTACCCCATCCCCCCGGAGTACCCAGGGAGCTTGCCACCCAATTCGTTGTGTCTCACTGTTACACCGCCCCCACATCTGATATTTACAGCCATTTTTTTATTAATTCATCCTCGACACCGAGCCACCGCAGCCGGGTACCCAGTATGTCTCCAATGTAACCGAGGAACCATCTCGGACCGCACCACCACCACACCTGTGGCCAGCTCCCATAGCCGGTCCACCTCCCTCTGCCTCCACCTGATCAATTCCTTTTCCGGGACCATGCCGATATCCTTCCCGACCTTGCGGATTACGAGAATGTCCTGGACAGTGCCCCTTGTTATCTTCCGGAAAATTTTCTCCACTGATGCCTTGCCACCAAAACCCCCGAAAACCAAAACCACTCCAGCTCCACCAATTCTAAAGGAAAGCCCAGTTGTGCTTGACCCGAACCACGGCTCCCTTCTGCGCCCCTTAGATGTAAGAGTGGCCAACCAACCATGTCACCAAACCTGAAACGAAAGTAACTAGCAACAAGGCATAGCCCCAAACACAAACCCATACGTCCATAGCCATTAAACCAAATAGACCGTCTGTAAACAGGACTTAAACCGTACTGACTCCCACCTTCCTAAACGTTTCCCCAGGTCCTCACTTAAAACCAGGCGGGACGCTTCTGTCGCCACCATTGAATCGTGACAGCGCCGATCCGTCCCCTTTTACCAATAAGCCACCTGGGATGTCCGGGTGAAGTTCCAAGTAGCGTGATGTGACATACCCCTGACCCTGGCAGGGAATATAGCTTTTTTTTTTCGACAACTGAGTGTAAAACCCCCCAACACCCTCCCGAAAGGCACTCACCAGCTCCCCAATCCAAATTGCCCCAAGCCCCCGAGAAGGCCACCGCAAACAAACTCACCACAAAAGCAGAGTAACACACCACCAGGCGTTGCATTACCCAAGGAAACCAGCCACCCGGCACCAACATATTTCATACCTCTCTGGAAGACCCGCGATGCCTGACGGACATGACAACGTTCCGTCACTTTCTCCCAATCGGTCAGTTTGAACCCTAACGCCAATGCCTCCATGCTCCTGTCCATTGCTAACGCTGAACGAACAAGTGGCTTAGGAACCACAGCAAGGTATCCCTTCGCCCCTCCTTTGACTGGGACCCCTCAGTGAAACCAACCGCCTCATCCCACATATCCCAAACCTTCACATAGGCAGTCCCCGTGCTCGGTGCCATAGGATTCTGTATCGATCCTCCAATCATGGTGTTTCGAGTTGCTACATTTCCTTCAGACTGGCCTGTCCCTCCTTCCGCGTCCCCTGGGGCCCCATTCGCAGCTTGTCCCCTTGTACACGAGCCAAGTAACCAGCCCCTACCTTCCGCCAACCAGGCATGTGGCATGCCTACACCCAATATCAAACGACCTGCACAGTGATACGAATCGCCGCCATCAGCGTACCTCCTGAACCGAGGACCCGGCTGGATGGTAAACCGCATGAACCCCACCGTATTGTCCGTGAATTACGACTTTTCGTCCCTTAATCCTTCACCTTTTAGAGCCATGGCAACTCCCAATGGAAATAACTCAAAAGATGCCAACTTTGAATAAGAGGACTTACCTTTCATGCCTCCCGCCACCGCTCCGCGCACCACCTGCCTCGGAATCTATGTTCCCAGAGGCATCCGTGAACAACTCGATACCACCCGCAAAGCCTCCACAAGTAGCCTTCGCCATGAAACTGCTACAGACCCATTCCTTGCGACTAACCCGACATGCAAACTTGAAACTGCCTTATGAACAACTGCGATTTCTCAGCGTGACCTTCTTGGACCTGCGAACCTTCAACCTGAAGTCCCGAAGTGCAGTTAACTGATCCCCAGGCAATCGACACTCTCCTACCACCAAAACAATTTCCAGCCCAAGCAAAGACGTGCGGTAGGATTCCCGCGACCGTAAGGTATGTCCACAATGGCCCGGCCCAGCCGAGCCCACACAGCAAGCTATCTTACAGATAATGTAGTAAGGAACCCCTTCCTGATTCCTCTTTCACCACCCACTCCCAGACGGAACCAACTTCCCGAAGTAGGAACATGAAACGGAACCGCCCCTTGGCAAGCAGAGGTTACCAATAGGCACCTGCAAACATGCAACCCAAAAGATGGAAGGGTTGCCAACAATCAAACGCGTCCCGCTCCCCCGAACCAACTCGACAGCAAGGCCAAATGATGCCAAAGATACAAAACAGGTCTGCGTCGATGTCAAAAAACCAGCCAGGAAACAGGTGTCATCGTTACCTGGTTCAATTAATGTCTCAATACAGGAACATTCATTAGTATTATGAACTATGGGAGTCCTCTGGAAGAACGATGGCAAGGTCTCTTCAAGTTGGATCCAGGAAAATTGCTAGATTGAAGAAGCAATTGCTCTTCTTTAAATCTCCTAATTAACTGAGCAGAAGGGTTGCAGATCTGCTTATTCTGCTTAAATGCAAACCCTGTCTATGAAAGGAGAGGACTTTATAAACTGGAGCCTCTGACACCTTTCTCAAATAAATATATATATAGAGAGAGAGAGATAGAGAGAGATAGAGGGGAGAGGGGGTGGTTTTTCTAAGCTATGAATTGCTAAATTCCCAACAGGAGATTTTGAAAAAAACACTAAGATATAGGCCTCGATTTTATATTTTTGAATAAGCTTTATAAATTATTTAAATGATCAAATATTTTAATATTGTGATACTATTTGATATATTGATACACTATATGGACAAAAGTATTGGAATACCTATTACACCAAGAGAGACGTGTATGACATCACATTCTAAATACATAGTTATTAACACGTATTTGGTCCCCCATTTGATGTTATAACAGCTTCCACTTTTCTGGGAGTGGAATATTTCCACAAATTTGTAGAGCATTTGTGATTTCAAGCACTGATGATAGATGAGAAGGCCTGGTTCTCATTCGCCATTCCAGTTCATCCCAAAGGATTTTTATGGGGTTAAGGTCTCTGTCCAGGCTAGTCAAGTTCTTCCACACCAAACTTATCCAGCCATGTCTATATGGACCTTGCTTTGTGGACTAGGGCATAGGCATGTGCAAAGGCACACTCACACTTTATACAGCTACTAAGAGCTCTGCTGTATTCAACATGGATGGTACAATCCCAATCTCAGAATATTTTGCAGTCAGCAGTGGTGATATATCTCCAAAGGGTAGAACAATCTAGAAAATATAGAAAGCAGTGTATGTATAAAACTAACCGTAAAAAACGTAAAACTAACCATAAATATTCTACTCACATAGAGCAGACCATAAACCTGCTTGGTGTTGAAGAGCTCTAGTGGTATAATCCCCATGTGTGGAACCAGGAAGCCAAATAAAAAAAAAGTGTCAGGGTAAAATGCAAAATAAATTCAAAACAAATTCAATTTTAAGGGACTGAATTTATTACATTAGTGAAAAACAATAAGCAGACAATATACTGTATATAAAATCCAAATAGGCTATGTGACCACACTTTACACATTCCACCTTAGGGTTTAATCAGAAGTGTTCTTGTGGAGATCTCCAATCAACACCAGAAATTACTTATTGATATCAATACCTGTATAGACAGTGACTATTAAAGCTGAGACCACACTTCCAATGTTCTCCTGGAATCCTTTAAAATCAGATTTGCCCATTTGCCTTCCAAACAGAGAAATGTGTTTCATCACTCCATAGAACATGTTTCCACTGCTCCAGAGTCCTGTGGCGGCGTGCTTTACACCACTCAATCCGATGCTTGACATTGTGCTTGGTGATGTGAGGCTTGCATGTAGCTACTCGGCCATGGAAACCCATTCCATGAAGCTCTTGCCCCACAGTTTTTGTGCTGATATTAATGCCAGTGGAAGTTTGGAACTCTTCAGCTGTGGGATCAGCAGAGCTTTTACACAGCATGCACCTCAGAACTCGGTGACCCCGCTCTGTGACTCTACATGGTCTTCGGCTTCATGGCTGAGTTGCTGCTGTTCCTAAATTCTTCCACTTTACAATGATACCACTTACATTTGGATGTGGAATATGTGGCAGAGATAAAATTTCACAAACTGACTTATTGCAAAGTTGGCATCCTATCACAGTACCAAGTTTGAGGCCATAGTCATAGGTTGGCTGATATAGGCAGAATTTGAGATTCCAATTACAATTCATTGAAAGTCAGTGTTTAGTAAATGAACATGTGGATTAGGTTTTTGCCAATAGTGCATGGCTTATCCTTTCCATCCATAAGATTTTGGTAGTCTGAGTATGTGCTATTTATATTTCTACTAGCAAGAGACTAATTTTGTGCAACTGTCACTCAATGTAGTTCTATGAGATGACTGTCTAGTTGAAATAAAGTCATTTTATCACATTAAAGGCTAGCTGTCTGATTTGGTCTGGTGTTTTTGAACTTTACAATAGGCAGGTAATATGTATTTGACTGCCACCTTATATTCTGTACTAAGCCAACTCCATACACAGCAATAAGTTTAAATTCTTGAAGTTCTCAATTGCTACATGGTAATAAACCAACAGTACTTTAAAATATGCCCTTGGTTAGGAATGACAATGGCTCAGCACTTGAAAAGGGCAGAGCACACTACCGTCTCGATGTGTTATATCATTGCAGGAGCAAGGCAGAACGCAATACTCTTTTTCCTCAGAATTCTTAAATAAATGCCTCAAGTCAAAAAGACTGCTCCACTTCTAATAAGGTCATGGCTAACATCACTCTAATAGCAGAGAACATTGTGTGTTGTGTATATTAAGCCGACAAGGAGCAAAATAACCTTTCTGCAGCTGTCAGACAAACATCGGGTGCGCTGAAAATTTTGACCCATTTAAAAGGTGAAGATTTGTTGGTGTTATACGTTGTAAAACTATGTCAGAACAACCCTGGAACCTGAATTTATATCAGAAATCTATATCAGCAGATTAGACTTATTTAGTGCCCAAATGAGACTCCAATCCCCATTTGGCACATATGGTGTGCAACCGAAGGGTTGAAGGAATTTTACTGCCTCCGTTTATTAGAACTAAAGACCTCTGACCAATGTTTCAACGCGATTTTTGTTGTCTGAGCTACATTTTTGTTCTTTTTTTTTTATTTAAGGGAAACTTACGTATCTGGAAATTACGCCATTGAAAATCACTTATAACTTGTGTTAATCTTGTTTTCATGTGATGCTCCATTTAAAAAAAAAAAAACAACTAATAATATTAAAAGTTCATCAAATTCTACCACAATCCAGTTCAACCTGCAAATGAGAAGGAAAACACTTAACCATATTTCAACGTACCTCTTCTCTGTACGCTCTCTCTCAGCTGACTGCCAGGCATGGAGGACAGAACTTAACAATGATTGACAGAGAGTCAAGATGGATGATAAGTTTTAGGACAAATAGGTAATTGTTTTTATAGGATTCGGATGTAAGAGCCCCAATTTGTATCTGGGCATCAGATGCATCCACATATTTGCTGCTAATCAGATTCCGATCGTATTTGGCTTTGGTAAATCTGAGAATTGCTATTTGCACCCTATCATTGTGTTATTTACTACACTTCATTTTCATGGATTCATTCTAAACAGAACACAGACAAAAAAAAAATAGCTTGTCTGGAAACATTCTCCAACATAATACAACTTGCCTATTTTTGCCTCAGTTTTGCCATCCAGATTTTAATGCATCCCTAAGGTACAGAGTTCATGGCTTCAATTAAGCAGCTCTTTCCCGGTGTAATGCTATGTATCATTATATATGTACAAACGCTAAGCAAAATACTCAGGCAGGGGAAAGTAGTAACCTATGCTGGATGGGATTTAAAGGAGCTGCCTACATGTTTCTACTACTTACAAGAATGTAAATTCAGTTCCACAGCCACCTTAGTAATAGAGCAGATGGTGTATAAGCTTAATTTGTTACATGCTGGGAGAACAGAGAGAAGAGGCTATTCATTTCCAGAGCCTTTATGATGGCATTGGGGAGGGAAGTGACAAAGTGCGTACAATCAGAGTCCTGTAAACTTAGAAGAGGTCAAGAGCTTGTAGTGATCAGTCTTTTCTGTAGCTGCCTGCAGGAAAGCCTAGCTATTCATTCAAACTAGGTTTGTTTTAGAATGTTGAATTGTTTTTAATATTGTTGTAACCTGTTCTTTTCTTAGAGAAGTAAGGTAGATGAACGTGGAACAGCTGTGAACCAATAAACCACACATATGGCTTTTTGTGCCTTCACCTACCTTGTTTGGTAATGTTTGTCTTGTATATGTTTTGCTGTGAACTTTTATTCCTGTGGGATTTTCTTAACCCCTCTTTTTATACTATCGTCCATCATGTTATCTTTTTTAAAGGAACATTGCAGCATTATAAATATTTACATTTGTTTATGACACTGGACTGTTATAGAGCTGACACTTATCTTCATTACCCTCCCTATTCCTATAAAAATAAAAAGGTTACTTACATGTAATCCAACAGAGAGAGGGTCCCTCTTTATTATTATTATTATTATTAGCGCTGTACAATGAGTACAACTCTGCTATGCCCTAGTCATGATAAGCTCGCTGCCAATGCAATGCACTCCATAGAGAAGCATCGGGAGGCAGAGCGCAGGCACAGCAATCCCCGCTCTGCACTGACAATTATTCTCATAGAGAAGCATTGAAATCAATGATCCTCTATTAGAAGCACTGACTTCCACTTTGTGCTGGGGCTTTCTGAAGTTCCAAATTCTTTCGAAATCTGCACTTTCATGAAGTGAAAAAGAGGGGCAATCTACTAAACTATGAAGCACTTGGGATTTAGAGTGTTCTTTTAAACTCTTTTTTTCTCCATATAGCTCTGTTCCTATCAGTCAGAAACGCTCTTGTGAAGAATATAGAGCTAATGAATTCAAATGCATTATTACTATAAAAATATAAAATCACATATAAGCAATATGAATAAAAATATATAACAAAAAAAAGGATACTTGTTGTGCAGCAAATCCGTATGATTATTTTCATCTGTAGAGGTTTATGCAATACATACAGTAAGCCAGGCATGTACAAAAAGGATCACAATCTCCATAGAAAACCTTTTAGTGTTGATTAAAGGGAAAATACAGCAGTATGTTTACTCTCACCTGCTTCCCCCCTCTGACTATACCATGGCACACGTTCAGCCAATAACCTGTTCCCTATCGCCCAGTATTAAACAGCACAGCATCAGTGTTTTCCTGGCTTCAACAGGGAAATGCATCAGATATTGCCATTTGACTGTTGTGTCCCATCCAGGGAAAAGCAAGAGTGGGCAACTTGTGTGCCACTCACTCCGACCAGTTTATTCATTTCTACACTGCCCACCTTCAGATACTCTAAAGGCTTGTAAAGGCTTCCCAGTTGCAACCAATGCTGCTGAAGCCAGTATTGCTTTTCCACATCTTCAGCCCATAACTGAAACTCAGCTTCCAGTGTGCAACAGTATCACCCTAGCATTTTGCCAGTCACGTAGGCAAATGGTGGCAAGTATATCCACACCACCAACGCAGTCAGACCAGGGGAAAGTAAGTGGGAAGTGTCAACTGGTAACCCATTTGCTCTGTTGGTGGAGCAGGCAAATCACTTTTACACTGCCTTCGAGCACCTGAGATGCACCAGAGTCTCAGACAGTGAACTGTTAATCATTCTAAACAGCTTTGATTCCTAGTCCTAACAGCTATCACATTGAATGTAGCCCCATGTAGCAAAAGCACAGCTTAGTGGAAAGGGGCATTGACAGGGCTAGGAGTTGGGCATAGCAGGAAGCTATGTAGGGATAGGTGATTTAGAGGGTAAGGGGCTGGGGTATATAAATAGGCAGCCATATTAGGAAAATTACCAGATTTGACTAATTACATGACGTAAAGTCATGATTTTATTAAGGACACGGAGGCGAATATTAGGCTTATCTCTTTCTTTTATTCCTCAGCAGCAAAGAAAGCGAAGGTATTCATAGTATAGAAAAAAATGAACAAATACACTCACAGGGTTAATCATTACATCACTATATCTTAGCCTATGGGAACAGGCAACATATCATATACTCCCATGTGACCCCCATCTCTTCCTCTTTCCTGTTGATGCCGAAGCTAATAATCTATAACAACAACTAACAAATTAACTTAATCAAAAACAAAAACAGGCAGTAAAGACAACAAATTCCTCCATGTACAATCAATACTTATTACGTACCTGGGTTGGGTTACAAAACTCCAAAAGTACCATTTCTGGGTTGGCTAATACTCGCCTCCGTGTTTTAGCAGGGCCGGCGGATGGGCCGGCGGATGGGCCGGTGGAGGCCATGGGAGAGAGGTCGGAATTAACCGGGAGTATATCGGACGCGGCTAGGCAGCACGCGTATGTCTTGTTCCTGGCCGTTAGGGGTGTCCCTCAAACAGGACATAAAGGGGAAATTGTGGTAGGGTGAGTTTTGCTACATTTTCTCGCTTCTTCCATTAGAGAACTTTATTGACCTCAAGGAGGAGGAAAAGAAAGACAAAAAGGAGGAGGAAGAGAAACGGAAGAGGTATCGTAAGATACCGAAATCTTTCAGGGAATTGATTGAGGGCGTTCTGCGTCCTGGCCAGTGTGCTTGGCGAGAAGTCGCCAGGGCTGTGTTCATCGTTGTTCTGCAACTTGGACGGGATATGGATGGCATACTGCACGTACGCCGGGCTCGCACGGTGAAGGTATGATGAGCAGTTTCGGCAGCCTCTTGCAGCTAATCCGGGTACGTGGGACCAGATGGACCTACCTCTATGGATGAAGCTGATGATTGTGCAAAAAGCACAGCCCTTTTGGCAAGCTACTGGCGCCAACGGTCAGTCCGCTTCATCAGCCACGTTCCAAAAAGGCTTACGCTGGCTCTCCAATGAGGGTCATAGCAAGTGGGGGTCGGCATGTCGCTTTAAGCACGAGTGCTCAGGTTGTGGTGGTGCCCACGGACTCAATAGGTGTTTCAAGCAAAATAAGGCAGGGGGTGCCGGGATGTCTGCCCCAGCGTGGTTGCACCCCAGTGAAGTTAGATGCGACGTTGACGTGGCTAAGCCATTATGGTGAAAGAGCTGATGCCAAATTGTGGAGGCTGCTTTTCGCTTGCTACCTGTTCACCCGGACTGTCATCACTTGCTGGGTTTCTTTGAAGGGGGGTATTTCGTCGACTTGTGTCTACCGATGGTCTGTTCGATTTCTTGCTTACTTCAAGAAATTCAGTTCTTTTTTGGAGTTGGTGGTTCGGATGAAGGAGGGGAGTAAGTTGGTGGTGCACCATCTGGATGATTTTCTGTGAGGGGCCGGCAAATTCCTTGACCTGTCTTCACCTGCTGCGAGCCATCGAGTGTGTGGCATGGCAGTGCGGAGTTCAGCTCGCAGTGGGTAAGACCGATGGAGTGTCTCAGTTTTCTGGGCCTTGAACTTGATTCGGAAAAAGGTGAGTGTTGGCTGCCTCAGGATAAGCTGGTGGGGCTGCGTGGCGTGGTAACGGAGGTTCCACGGGCACGGAAGATGACGCTTCGGCAGCTGCAATCGCTCCTAGGGAAGCTCAACATTGCTTGCAGGGTGATTCCGATGGGGCAGATTTTCAGCCGGAGCCTGCCTGGGGCTATGGCGGGGTTCAGTCGCAACACCATTTCATAAGGGCTGGTCTGGAGGTGTGGGATGCGTTTTTGCAGGATTTCAACAGTACGGTGTTCTTCCAGAAGGCGGGGGTTTTGGTTGCTGATCTTGAGTTCTTTATGCACGAGTCGGGTAACTTAGGCTTCTTTACGGATAACATGTCTATCGTACACGCAGTCCATAATCTGTCTGCTTCGTCGAAACCGGTGGTGCGTCTGTTGCAGCGCTTTGTTTTGCTCTGTATGTCACTCAATGCGGTTTTCTGTGTGCGGCTTGTGCCAGGGTATTTGAACGTGGTGGCTGACGCTTTATCTCGATTGCAGTGGTCCGGTTTCGGATGGTGGCACCCGGAGCGCAGGAGGTGGGGCAGGCCGGATGAGATGTGGCAGCTTGGAGCGTCTTGCTGGGGGGATACGTGAGAGGTTCTTTGGCACCGGGCACGTGGGCTGCATACAGTAAGGTCTGGGACTCACGGGAAAGCTTGTGTGCCGTGATGGGTCAGGCGCTGGTGGGGCAGTCGCGACTCAATGCCTTGCTTTGGTTTATGTTCAGGTTGTTAGCAGGGGCACATCACCTGTGGTGGTGGATAGGAATAGGATAGGAAAATTTTAAGGGCTTCTGTTTAGCACGGTGTTTCTCTTGGCCTTCTTTGGCACATTTCGCTTCGTGGAACTGGTAAGTGCTAACCGGGTGGCTGGTGGGGGTACTCAGGTGTCTGATGTGCGCATGCACAAGGGGTGACTTGTGCTTTACTTGGCAGGATCCAAGACCGATGTCAGGGGCTTGGGAAAGGACTTTACACTGTGTGCTCTTCCGAGTTCAACGTTGTGCCCGGTGGCTGCAGTTTTGGGTTATCTGACTAGGAGGCCCAAGGTTGGGGGATCGTTATTGGTGCATGCGGATGGTTCTTCCCTGTCTCGCTTTCAATTTACCAAGGTTTTTAAGTTAGGCTTGACAAGACTGGGATTACATGCTGGTAAGTTTGGGACTCATTCCATCTGCATCAGGGCAGCAATGGAAGTGACAAGGTTGGACTTGGGAGAGGCCCTATTCAAGAGAATTGGGAGATGGGAGTTGATGAGGTTCCACTCATATGTGCGTTTGGGGTTGTTGGATTGAGAAGGGTGGGCCTGGGGGTTCTGTGAGTCGGTGTTGATGTTTTTGTTTGTCTCCCTAGGTAAAGTCGCCTGGATCGTTGGGCACTCATTCGTTTTCTGGGTCGAGAAAAGGGCTGCAGCTCAAGTTCAGGGTCAGCAGCTGGGCTTTCCGCTGGACCAGTTAGTGATTCGTTGGTTCGGTTACAGTTGATTTTGTTTGGGGAACGTATGCAATGCTGTGTTTCGGAAGGTATCGGGTAGGGGTCGGCCTGATATTCTTGTTCTTCACGCAGGGGGGAATGATCTGGGCCTGGTACCGCAGCGTCAGCTTGTTAAATGGATGAAGCAGGACATTAATAGGTTGAGGGACCTGCTTCACGGGGTAATGTTGTTTTGGTCCGAGATCCTTACATGGCGGCAGTGGCGGCACACATGTGACCCATTAGCAATCGATCGCTGCTGTGAACAGGTGAATGGCTTAATGGCTAGTTTTGTCAGGAAGGTGGGGGGAGTGGTAGTGAGGCATCGGGAGTTGGAGGTTGGGTTGCCCGGTTACTATCACTTGGATGGAGTTCATCTCTCCGAAGTGGGGTGGGACCTTCTGAACCTGGGTTAGCAGGAAGGGTTGTTTAAAGCACTGTTTCTTCGGGGTGGTGTAGCTCAGACGGCTTAAGGGATCAAGGACTGAGCTTGTGGTGGGATAGGTAGCTGAAGGATAAGAAATAGGCTCTCATTTTTGCATGGTTTGGAGATGGTTTAAGATGGTTCTTGGTAACTTTGGTAAGTTTCAAGCTTGTCGGTGGCTCAGAACCTGGTGAGGTAGGGGTATCCAGGTATACCCCTACCATGGTTAATAAAAATGTTGGCACTTTAAATTATGTTCATGTTGAAAAACTGTTATATGTTATGTGTTTATATATGGTTCATTGCCTTTTATATCTAACTGTGGGGATACTGTGGGAATACGGACACGGTATGGAGGGGTGTGGAGCAATGACCTTTTAATGTTTAAAGTTATTACTAATAATATATTTATTTAATAAAAGCTGTGGACAATTTTGACCCATATACCCTAGTGTCCGTGTTTTATTGGGTTAGGTATGTGGGGGTGTAACGAACGCTGGTATTGCAAGTACCCGTTCGTCTGTTTTCTCCTGAACTGCTAGAGGCTGAGTGATTATACCTCGCAGTTTGGTTGTTGATTCGAATGTTCTCCAAATGACGTACAGCATCCAAGTATATTCCTCAAGCAAATCAGATGGATACACAAACATTAGTTTAACTAGATGAAGGGTACAACAGGAATGGTTTGTTCAGGCTAACCGCCCTGTTTATATGCAGTTACAAATGTACAGGGTTCATGTTGACGTATTTCAGGGGCATTCCCCACTGGACCTGAGAGGTGACAGTGACAAAATGCATTCTGCAGTTACATTGGCTCTCAGGTCCAGGACACTCCTACATACAATAATATAATCCTTCCCCTGTACTTGGGAGAAAATTGAGTCAAGCACTATACTAAACTCAATTATCTCCAAACACGAAAAACACACATTTCCACAAAACCCAGAATGTACCCCAAACTCCATGGAAACCCCACTAAAGTCATATACCCTGATGCCCTGATCTGGGGGACCAACATATTAAAAAATCACCCAGATCGGTTCAGGGGTTTGGGAGTTCCATAGAAGTCTTAATTTGACCGACCACACACGAGGCTCCTGCTCAAAAATAGTTCCATGAAATTAGGCTGTGCTGTCGGTCTATTTCGAAAAGTCTAAAAACCGAACAAATCCACAAATGGTTCCTCTGGCTCATTTGTTTTCCTAGTTCGTGGGAACAAACCTACCGGATAGCGCTCTCCTGGCTGGTCGGTGAAAGGAAGCAGCGAAGTTGACCGGCATTCGGGAAGTCGAGTGTTCGATTTTAGTTCCAGATACTCGACGACCAAGTCCAGCTGCCTTCTTTTGTGCGAACAAGAGAGAGCACTTAATTTGCGGATTGCTTCGTATTTAATGAGCCAGGGGTGTGAAAATCAAAGGAAATGAAACAAAAGGTGTAGTTTCTTCACAGGAGGTTTTTGTTAAGATTCCGCCTGCCCATTTGGTGACTATGCACCTTGTGACGAAATCCACTTCGCCACTGGTTTTTCGAGGGACCTGTTTGCTAGCCTCCTACCCTGGGACTATGGGCCCTGTTATAACCCATGTTCAAAAGTACTATTTCTGTCCCTTGGACTTTTAACTGGAACAGATTCAAACATGCGGCGGTGGCCATCTTAAATTGTCCAGCGGTGTTTTGTCGTTGAGTGTATGGAACTGTTTTGAACATGGGACCATATGCAGGGTGGGGCAAAAATAAGACTTCCAGGAAATTCCTGAACCCCTTAACCGATCTAGGTGATTTTTGGATATGTTGTTCACCCAGATCGTGGCTATCAGGGGATGTGTTGTATTTTGGGGTACTTTTTGGGGTTTGTAAAAATGTATGTTTTTTCTGTTTAGAGTTAATTGGGTTAGCCCATTGTCTTTGTTAACTGAATCACAGGCAGAGGGGAGGGATTGTGTACACTGTAGGGGAGTTTCTGCATGTAAGACTGGTTTGTTAATTCTGTGTCCTGTGCCCCACAAGGTCCACCTGGGCGTCAACCTTGTGGGGAAAAACTGTATGAAAACTCAAGCTGTTCGATAAACCTTCAGACTTGTTCTACCCTTCATGAAGTTTCAGCTTATGTTTGGGGGATTGGAGAACTACCTACACTCTGGGGATTGCTATAATCACTATACTCCCCAGAGTATAATCACTAAGCTCTTGTAAGAGCTTGTTCCTGTTTCTGCTCTCTGGATTACAAGAGAGGTTTACCAACTGGAAGCTGGATCCTGGTCTTGGGTCCAGAGTGGGTGGAAGACGGCGAGACCCCAACCAAGCTGCGGCGGTTCGTGGGGTCTGCGGTGGTTATGGTGTCTAGTGGAGTGCTTGGAGCCCTCAGGAAGCACTAGGAGCATCCGTCAAACGGAGGTACCCAGTCGGGGTGCCAGGCGATCCGTTACACACCTGTCAGAAGATTTTGAAATATGTGTCAGCTTTGGCTAGTAAGTCAAAGGATAAACTGCTAAAATAACTAGAATGCAGCTGTATACCTAAAAAGATACAATTAACAAAACATAGAACTAGTGGGAGCTGCAGAGATGCTTAATTTAACAACAGGATGGTACAGACTGGCTAATGATTTAATAGGAGTCTTGGACTGATAGGTTAAAGGAAGATACGTCATCCGGATCATGTGTGGACATTAGGGACTAACCCCATATAAGAAACAATAATTGATACTGCACTCAAAATAAAGCAAAAAGATTATATTTAATCAAAGATAGTGAATCAATTTCATATATATATCAGATATGTACAAAAAATGTGTACAGTCAGCTTTTGAGGGTCAAAAGAATAATCTCACAAGAAGATCAGGTCAATTTAGGAATGGAATTTATGTGCAATAAATTTATACATAGGGGCTACCCAGTGGAATTAGTTGAACAACAAAAAAACAAGGTCTTGGGAATAGATAGAGACTTGGCGCTTAACCCCATTGGCATTAGAAAAGCGATAGATAGAATTCCTTTCATTTCGCCATTCACACCCTACAGCCACGATATTAAGAAAATTATAATGAAACACTGGAACATATTTGAGGGTGACGCTAACCTACCAAATGAGTTTAAAAACCCACCTTTATTCTCCTACCAAAGAGCACAAAACTTAAGAGATAAATTGGTAAATTCTGATATAGGGAGTAGTCGGAAACACAAAAGATTTTTTTCAGAACCCAAGAGGGGTACCCACCCTTGTTTAAATTGCATACATTGCAACAGTATAATCAAGGGTGAATGCTTTGTTCACCCACGATCAGGCAAGTCATATAAAATACCTGACTACTATACGTGCAACTCTGACTATGTGGTTTACATTTTGAAGTGTCCATGTGGGTTTCTCTATGTTGGAGAGACGATTAGACCTGTAAAAGAGCGTATTGGAGAACACAAAAGGGACATAAGAGCAGCTATTCAGAAAGGGACCAGTGAGAAACCTGTACCGAGGCATTTCTTACAACAAGGACATGGTGTCAACCAAGTACGTTTCCAGGTTATTGATGGTATTAAACCCCTACGGAGAGGGGGAGATAGACAGAAAGCACTGCTACGTAAGGAAACAAAATGGATTAGTATTTTGGAGACATTACACCCAGACGGGCTGAATGAGGACTATGACCTCAAACATTTTCTGTGAAGCTATTTATGAAGGGTGTATACCTGCATACCTCCAGCTAGGGAGTCCATGTTCTTTGTCTCCCAGACTTAATATTGTACTCTCATTCTATTTTTACAGTATACACTTTGGTCTATATGTGGCACGTCGGTCTCTATTATCCCTTAAAGAGCTCTATAATAGTTGACCAAGTGTGGTCCGCAACCCGACAGAATGCGGGGTCCAACATAAGAGAACCCATGGGCATCTTTCACACACTACACTGCTGGTGAGTATGCCCTTTTGCTAAATTTTCATATTTTCATTTTTCATTTTTTCATTTATTCATTTTTTCACTTTTTCATTTTTGGTTGAAGGAACTATTGACCTTCTGATTATCTGTTGCAATATTACATACAAAAGTACTTTAGGATTATCATTAAGAACATAAGTACAGGGTTGATTCAATTTCATGACTGTGCCCCCACTTATGAATCAACTTTCCTCTCATATTTGAAGTAATACCCTTCTGTATATCCTACAAATAGCTTGTAGGTTTTGTCATGTATCTTTGTTTTTAAAAATATACTAAGAGTGTGTATTTATGTCCTCTAGGTCCTCTTACTTTATCTCTCCATACCTTGTATTTATGTATATTAGCATTTTGTAAATTTATAGTACTTAATGCCATTATCTTGGTATTATGTACTTTGTCAAGCAATTTTTCTCCGGCATAACGCAGTCAGCAGGAGTACGCATGCGTGAGTTAAACTATTACACGCATGCGCACACGGAGAGGAGCACGTCATGACGTCATGTGCGTCATTACGTCATTCGGACGCGACCCGCGCGAACAAGCGGGCGCGCCGAAAATGGATATAAATATGGACTCATTACTTCCTTTTTTCTACACAGGGCCTTTGAAGGGGCTGAAGGGTCCCGAGCGCGCAGCCCGTTTATCCTGTACAAGAGTCTACAAGAAGTCCACGCTCTGGACATATTTGACCCGGACTATCCAAGGATCTGCCAAGTACCTGCTATATCCATCACCTTCAACCAACAGGAGAGGAATAGGAGGAACAGTCTACAATTTGCAACTCAGATAACTTCATCTAGAACTGGACTTTTCCTTTCTCAGCAAAGCATATTGGTGAGATCCACCCATATACAATAGTGTGTACACACTGGTGACTGTATATACAACTTTTTTCATTTTTTTATTTTTTATTTTTTTATTTAGTTTTTTCTCTTTTTTCTCCTTTTTTTTCCTTTTTTTTCTCTTTTTTCCATTTTTGATTTTTTAAGGAATTTGTTCATTTTTTCAATTTTTTCTATTACTTTTTTCCATTATTGTATATATTGTATATACTGTATATACTTTTTTTGTCCACACTGGTCAATAATCCAGATTGAGAATTTCTCATACTACTTCAAAGTGTATTATACTCATATGAATTTAACTTTTATTATACTCATATGAATTTAACTCTTGTAAGGATACCGTGTATTTTACATGATATTACACTGGTTGCCATAGGATACTTGTCATTTACAGTATCCTTTTTTTCACATTTTTTGTACATATCTGATATATATATGAAATTGATTCACTATCTTTGATTAAATATAATCTTTTTGCTTTATTTTGAGTGCAGTATCAATTATTGTTTTTTATATTATTTGGAGGTTAATGGGCCACCTTGATTACTTGCACCGAAACGGATATGAGAGTGCCTGTACATTTATATTTTTTTGTATATAACCCCATATAAGGGAGGCACTTGAAATGGTGGGTAGGCCGAAGTTTTTATTTTGGCACTTTTGTATTTTGATTTTAGCTGTATGGTTCCTGAGGAAGTTCTTACTTGGAATGAAACGCGTAGGACCTGGGATTCTTTTACTATTTTATCTATTTTTATTTGCAATTCATTGCAATAAATCATTTACTACTACCTACCTGCCTTTTAGTTTCCTGGTATTCTGCTTCTAGTCCTGAGAGAGAGCGAGGACACAAGAGAGCCAGGCCCCTGTCCCTTCCAGGGGATGCATGTTGAGATGCTTAAAGATTACAGTGTGACCTCGGTTTACGAATTTAATGCGTTCTCTGGGACGTTTCTTATTGCGAAACATTTGCAAACCGAAACGCGGTTTCCCATAGGAATGCATTGAAAACCAATTAATCCGTTCTGGAGGTCAGAAAAAAGTCAAAATGAGCTGGCATGGAAACCAACCCACAATGCAGAACACACAATAAAATACATGCAAACGACGAAGCTCAGCTCCCTAACTTTCCACAGCTTGAGAAATGCACCAAAAAGTCCCAAAACAACTGCAAACAATTTCCAGAATCTCTCCAAAACTCAATGCAAAAACAGCTCCAGCACCTCCACACTCGATGCCACAAGCTACCCACAGACTCCAGTATACAAGGGGCGGTGCTATAAACCTCCCAGCTGCAATGCATCCTTGGGAAACTTGCTTTGAACTGCAAAAAATATTTGTAAACCGAGGCATTATTTTCAATGGATTTTCATTTGTAAACCGAAAATTATGTTAACCGAGGCATTTGTAAACCGAGGTCCCGCCGTACTTTCGTCTGTAACTGCATTCACATTGCAACAGTATTCATACTTGCGTACAGTATTACACTATTGTGACGAGACCAATCTCGCCACATTGCATTGGAGAAGCCCGGTTGCTCGCCTGCTGCCTTTGGACTATGGTCCCCTGTTAAAAGACATCTTTTTTACCTGCAGAAAAGCTTCATTCGTGCTTTTCTGCCTGGGGTTCGGTAGATTTGGTTGAATGTGTTATACCCCAGATAGGAATCCCATGGAGCCCATTCGTATGAAACTGACTGTAAAGACTTTGGCTCCATGGCGATTAAACTGTATTCGTGTGGTCTGAGCGCCATTCGCTTAATAATGTGCGCTCGGACCTGAGCTATCTGGGGATATGTTACATGTCTGTGTTTTATGTAATAAATGTGACTTTATGTATTTTAAAGTGTTTTGTGTCTTTTTGCAACCATGTGCTTAATGGAGTCTTGTGTCTGTCCTGGGAGATAATTGAATTACTCTCCAGGATAGAAGACTCTGAAACTGGTTTGGGCCAGAAAGCCATGCTTCATTTAGTCACAAAGATACTTTTTACTAACTTTTGAACCCCTTGTCTGATTTGTGCCATTTTTTAATATGTTGCTCCCCTGAATGGATTGATTCCAAATATGTAATTTGTATAAAGATTGGATGTATGGTTTTAAAGTTACAGGGTATGGGGAAAAACTGTTCTGTTTTAATTATGTTATGTGATTATCTGAGGGATGGGAATTTCCCCGAATGTATATTGTTCCGATTGGTTATACTGCTAATTATGTGGGTGTCTCCCTTGCATGGGCAGAATCTCATAAAAGCAGAGTGTGTGCCATTAAACATCAGACCACTGCTTGACCCTCAACACAGAGCCTTGTCTCGTTCTTGGGGGGATTCACTGTATGCTGTTAGAGACTGATTGCCAGGAGTGAAAGCTGATTGTCTGCTTTTCCTGTTCGTCTGCTAGCAGCTATTTGGGAGGTTCCAGTTCGGGAGTTGGAGTGCTATTTTGTATCCAGTTCGGGAGTTTGGTGTTCTGCAGTAGCTGTGCCTGTATCTCTGGAAAGGGGGCCGATCGCCTAAACGTTTTTTTACCCCTTGTGTGCAAAACGGTCCGTTACAACTATGCTTTGTTAATTGTATCTGTTTAGGTATACAGGTGTATTCTGGTTATTTATCAGTTTATCCTGACACTACATAGGATCACTATAGGGGAAAGTGATCTTGGGAATCTGTATACAAAAGCTAGGTTTTGCAATTTTTAACTCTATTGTGCTCAGTTTGGTGTATATATGTGTACATTTTATTGGCTATTAAGTGTAAATAATGTACTTATCCACCAGTTTTTTCAGGTCGCAACTAAAAGGCTAGGAAAAAACTAGTTGTAGGGGAATCAACCCTGTCTACTCCCAATTTTTCAATTTTAAGCCTCCATCCAATGCCAGTGATGGGTGGGCATGATATAGAGCCTTTCTTGGCAGTAACTTGGCAGTGTGAACTGCTTGCTCACTGTTTAGTAGATATTTCTCCATTTGTAATATGGTGGAAGGAGGCTTAAGGGAGGTATTCTACTTCCATTAAATTAATGTGGGGGTCATATTAACCCCCATAGGATTTTTAAAATGTATTTTTTAAACAACACTCTTGATTCAACTGAATATTTTTTCTGGAAACAATCACATGAATGAAATTCATTCTCAATGGAAAGGTACATTGGTGAAATGTGGTTTATCCAAACCAAAAATGTTTTGCCTTGTACAATATGTAAGTTCAGTATGTATTAGTCTTGTCCAGTTGATTTTGAAATTAATAACATTTTGTCTGATATGGCTATTAGGAAGTGTTTGAATTTCCAAATCGACAAAAACAAATGGATCCCTAAAGAATACATTTGTTGAGGTAAGGATAGCTAATTAGGGAGTTATCTACTAATCAAGAGAAAATGTTAAATTAAGAAAATGGCTTTTCTTAATTCTGATCATTCAGTTGTTTAGTAGATTGCTTCCTAATTTGGTATCCTTAAATATGGCAGTCACAAATAAAGATCAGTGCATTAGGGAGTTATCCACTAAACAGCTGAAATATCAAAATTGAGAAGAGGGCTTTATATAATTTTGATATTTAAGCAATTTAGCAAATAACTCCCTAAATTGGTACTTTTAGAGTTTTGTGACTGACACCTTCATTCATTCCCCATAGGAAAAATTTAGATTTATAGGAATGAATTGTAATAACTAACGCACCAAAAGAAAGATTTCCACCATGCACATATCTAGTATTTACTGTATTACTTAATTTATGTCAATTATTATTAGACATCCATTTTAGATCTTTACCAGTGTTCATTCTCTTTCCTCACATGTTCTCTTTTTACTGTTTAACTTTTTTTCCCCCATCTGTTTAATCGGTATGTCCAGCTATGACTGGTAATTGGTAAAGAGCACTGTTATAACAAAAAAAAAATTCTAATCGCAGGTGTCCAAATCCTAGTCAAAATCATTTTATGAATAGTTGCCACAATTTGAATAAATATGCTCCAATGCCTGATACCACGGATCAGTGGCCCTGTAGTAAATTATTTTTTAAATTATGGTTGCTTTTTACAATTGTTCTAAATAAACATTTTTACTAAAATGTTTTTTATTTAATACTTGAAAACATTTTAAATGATTTGTATGATTTATTATGTGCATACAGGTACGTCAGATGTAATTCTAATCCTGCCAATATCCCTGGACTCAAACGTATTTAGCATGTTTGTGTTATTGCAAACTCTTTCAAAAAAGCTTCCAGTTCAATATGATGATAATTTGTGCAAGGCCTCCATTTTGGCGTATATTAAGATCTGCGCTTCACCTCTTTCGTTCCTGGTCCTTCATCCTGAAAGAGCATTTTTCTCTTAGCTGCTGCCCGGAGCTGTAGACTCTATGCGTAATATGATAATACGAACATCCCTATCTGTTCCTCATCAATGTTAAGTGTTCTGAAGGTCACGGACAATAAACTTCACTGCCAATCACTGCCGCAAGTGGGATTTGAATTCTGCCTTGGACTACATTGCAGAAATCCTTTCTACTCCCTACTGCTAAATTGACAAATCCAATTGCTGCCCCCTCTTTAGATCCAACTTAACCGTGCCTCCGCTGATCTCATTTATTTCAATTTGCCATGCTTTCAGTCTGCTCCTCATTTTTTAGGAGGAAAAAAAAAGGCATTCAGGATTGTTGGATTTAAATGCAAACATAAATGGGAAAAAATGTATATACACTCCAGAAAGTTTATTTAGGTACAGAACGGAGTTATTGTGTGAACATTTGACAATAATTTTTTCCATGTTATATAGCTACCAACAGTTCAATATTTACAGCAGTAGTGCCTTATTAAATTACTTATTTTTCTTTTTTTTTCCCCAAGTGTCATTTTTTGTGTATATGTTTGATTAAGTCATTCCTGTTGATTGCATATTATATGATTAGTATGCTTAATTGTTGTTAATTGATATTTTCTGTTATATAGGTATAGCTGGTTTTCTGATAAAAATACAAAAGGTCATGAAGCATTGTCTCTCTCCTTAAAGGGACACTATTGTCACTAAAACAATTTTAGCTTAATGAACCAGTTTTTGTGTATAGATCATGCCTCTGAAGTTACCCTGCTCAATTCTCTGCCATGTATGAGTAAACTCACTTTTGTTACTGTTTATGGCGCTGTAGACACACCTTGCTGGCTGTGACTCACACAACCTGCAAGAAAGAAAATGGTTTCATTTGCAATCAGATGTTAACTTACCTGTTCTTAATTTGATTCCCTGCTCTGTAAATTTAACTTTAATCACACACAGGAGGCTCTTGCAAGGTCTAGCAAGTTATAAACAGAGCAAGAAATTAGACATTCAAAATTAAACAGAATTTGCAATAACGGAAGTGTAAACATTAGCTCACACTTTACAAGAAGTGTTTAGGAAGGCTGTACAAGTCACATGTAGGGAGGTGTGACTAGGGCTGCATAAACAGAGTGATTTAACTTCTAAATGGTACACAATTGAACAGTGAGACTGCAAGGGAATGATCTACATACCAAAACTGCTTCTGCCGAAGTTGTTTTGTTGACTACATTGTCCCTTTAAGCCAACCATTAGTGGTGGACAAGCAGTTCGTCTATAGGTTTTTGGTGTTCAGCTCCAAATGAGCTAATAAAGACATCTTGATTACAACCACACCTTGACTTGAGCAGTTTTTGTGCCTGAGAGTGGTTGTGAAAATGGGAGTGTTGGGTCACCTAGTGGATACAAAGCTGAATAAATGGGGCTTCTTCTTTTCCAGGAGTGGGATAGATACTTTGTTATGAGAAGGTGAGGGTTGGGGGGACGGACTTCCACTTACCCTCATGAGGCTGCTCTGCCATCTATCTTCATTCTTATATCCTACTCTCTTGAGGTTCTTCTCTGGTGAATCTTTTCCATCCTGGAAGGAATTTTTGAGTTTTGTGGGGTCTCCTAGAAGATTCATGGATTCTTTTCCAGTGCCATCTTGACAGCCTGTAGTGATTGAACCAGAGATGAGTATTGAGGAGTTGCCCCTCCACTACCTAATAGCTATGCTGTACCTAACCCCACTATTCTTGTCTCTCATCTTTCTACCCATACTGTTTCTTCCCTTCCTTCTACCTCTGTACCCCTCCCGTTTCTCCTGCTCTGTCTGTTTTTTCTCCCTCTTCCTTCCCCTGATCCCTGCCCAACTGAGGCTTTAAACAGCTTATTGCTAATTTGGCCTCTTTGTCATCCATATCTATTTCAGCTCCGGCTTCCTTGGTGCATACAACTTTCCTCTTCCTTATTTTCTGCATTTCTGGCGACCGGAACTTCTGAAGACTCTGGTGGCCACACCTGGTGCTCATGGGGAGAAACAACATGGCAACCACGAGCGCACCAGAAGTGATGCACAGATCTGTACTTCTCAAGGTCATGGAAGCCCCTCACGGTTCTACAGGTCTTCAGGAAGTAGGTTATGATCTAAAAAGGTTCCAGGACGTGGCTGGGACAGCATACACATCAACTGTCTCTTAAAGGAGCCATGGAATCTTTTGTTAGGGCTGCTCCTGCATTGTCTTTCCTAATTTCAGCTGTGCCACTGTCTGGGTTTTTCTCTGTTAGTTGCTATGTTATGCTGTGTGACACAGACAGATCACCTGCATTTGCACCTGCTTCAACTGAGCTTTATTCTGGCATATTTACCATACCAGATCATGGAGAGGTGACTCCTTTAAAGGGGATATGCTACATGTCTGTGCTGACATATATGCTGGGTCCACGGTATGTTCTGTCTATGCTGTCTTGAATCATTCTCTTCTTGTTTCTGCTTCATCTGCTTCAGCTTTTGACTTGGCCAATGCCCTTGGTGCTCCTGTTTTGTCTGTTTTACATAAAGTCTTAAGAAGCATGGAGCTTCTTAAGCCATAAGAAGACATTCTCAGTAGTCTTCAGGACTGGTTCCATTGAATCAAGTGACCACACTGGCATCACCAAGTGTTCCAGTGCAGCCGCTGGTGGTGTCTTCCACAAGATCGTGACTCACAGACCTCCAGGAATGGCGATGAGTTTTTACCTCCTACTCTTACATGATCCACACTCTCCCTTGCATCTGACGAGCCTGGATCTGAGGAAATAGGGTCACTGGGGATATCCACTAGGGGGCACAAGCTCATACCTCGCTTGCTGCAGATGATGTTACTAGCACAGGGTCACTTTGGCCACTCGAGTGCTGGGGGATTTCCTCAGTTCTACCCTACCTTACCCATGGACACTTTAGCTGTGCAATGCAAGGTGACTTGTACCCTATTCCATATACTCTTTAGACGTGCATTTGAAATCTAAAGTTAATGTAAAAATTTGTGAGTGTCCCCATCTTTGACCTGTCTATGGAAGCCTACCGACTTTATGAGCAGGCTGATGATAGGTCTGGCCTTAAGCATTCCACGCATTCAAAATCATTTGAGAACTGACAGTGATGCTTTTGGGTTTTGGCTTTCAGTTTTTATTCCTGATTTTTGGAAAAGCACCTCGAGTAAACCATCCTTATTCTAAAATATATGGAGATGATAGATTATATCTATCACTATTTTAAAAAGGGGGTCTGGAGAGAATATCATTCAAAATTTCATAGACATTTATGCATCTTTGGTGGCATTTGGGCCTTGAGAGGGTCTTGCCATCAGAGGGTTCTTCTTTTTCCAGCATTCTTGTTCATTTAGCCATACAAGCGCTGTGAGTGGGGAGCTTCCTGCTCCTTTTATCACATCTGCAAGTTCTGCAGGGAAACCCGTGGGTTCAGTGTAAGCGACTTCCCCAGTCACAGGACTCCTCTGGTCACCCTTCCTCATCTCTCAAGGTCCCAACTTTGTTGGATGCAATTGAAAGATGACTGATGCTTACCCCATCAGGCAGTAGACAGATTGGTTTCAGACTGGTCTGAGGGAGGTTTTTGTTATTAGGTTATTTTCCAGGTAAAGCTCCTGCTTGGGCTCTTTAGTCTGCTTTTACTTCTTCACTGATAGGTAAAAATTGCTAAGGAGGTCTCTTTGGGTAGAATTGAGGGCCCCTATTCTGATCCTCCAATCACTGACTTCATGATTTTCCCTGAAGAAGGAGTCCATGAAATTCACCTCATCCAACATTTGTCCTATACCAAGGAGGCATCTATTAGTGACTCTGTTTCACCCGCTATTTGCTCTATCCACTATCTGCCATTTGATGATGCGGTGGAGTTGTTCCGCCAGACTGGTCAAGGAGCTTTGCTGGCAAAGCTGGATATAGAGTCAGCTTTTTGCCATCTTCCTCTCCACCCATCCTCTTTTTGATGAATGGGATTCAAATTTTAGGGCTCTTATTACATCGGTGCCTACCTATGGGTTTGCTCTGTGTCATGTGCATTCTTTGAAGCTTACAGTTAATTTGTGCACTGGGCTATTGCAACGGCAGTATGCATCGCATTGCTGGTCCATTATTTAGATGATTTCGTGCTGGTGGATCCTTGACTAGCCCATTGTGCCTTTTTGATATCGGTCATGAGGCAGGTTATGGTTGAGTTTGGAGTTTCCCTAGCTGAGGGTAATTCTGTTGGTCCTTCCCCATTCTATCTTTCCTGGGCATAGAAATAGACACCTCCCTCATTCTCTATAGGCTCTCAAGGTTGACAAATAGCTGCTTTCGGTCTCTATGACTGTTACGGCTTTATCTTTTATTCTGCGAGCTTTGCAGTAGCTGCTGAGTCTCCTTAACTTTGCCTGCAGGGTTATTCCCATGGCATGGGTTTTTAACTGGCAACTAGAGGTGCCTTTCAGTGGTGGCACTTCTGGCAAGGCCTTAATCCCATTGTCTGAGGACAAGTTCCCCCGCAGGTTCTTACCTTCTATGCGGCACATGTGCTTTTCTGGAGGTGGTCCTCTGGGTTTTCAGGTGCTGTCAGCTCTGTCCTGCTGCACTCCCTCTGCTGCTCCACAGGATTTCTTTGCTGATGCCCAACACTGGGCTTCAATATGGTGCCAGCACTACAACAAGATGTTGGAGGCCATGCAGATGCTGGTGCAGCATGCTGGAGGGATCAGGTGGGAGGGTGGTCTGGTTAGACAGAAGGGAGGGACTGGGGAATAGTCAAGATGGAACTGAGTCTCCTCACCTCCTTTATTGGCATTGGGGCTCCACCTGCAGGGCCGTTGGAGGCACCTCAGTCTTAACACTGCACTCTCCTTGCATTCTGATCTTTGTTCCTAATCCTTGTTCCAGATCCCAGTCCTTGTTTCTGATACTAGTTCTTGTTCTTGATTCCTGATTCCTGATTCCTGGCAATACTACTCGGCTTCTGACGTTTGGTATGGACCCTTTTTCACACACAAACGACACTTTCATTGATGATATAATTGTTGTGATACATTTTACTGTTTTGAAACAATAATATTTGTATTACGCGACGCCTCCCGAGTATAACAGTACTCCTCATGTACAGGTTTTATAGTGTTTTTGAAAGTTACAGGCTTGATTTTCTGTTGTTTCACATTGAAATTTGCCAGATTGGTTATGTTGCTTTTGAGAGCGTATGATAGCCCAGGAATGAGAATTACCCCCATGATGGTATACCATTTGCAAAAGAAGACAACCTAAGGTATTGCAAATGGGGTATGTTCAGTCTTTTTTAGTAGCCACTTAGTCACAAACACTGGCCAAAGTTAGCATTCATAATAGTTTTTTTCATTTTTAACACACAAACAAATATAAATGCTAACTTTGGCAAGTGTTTGTGACTTAGTGGCTACTAAAAAAGACTGGACATACCCCATATTGAATACCCTGGGTTGTCTACTTTAAAAAAATATGTACATCTGAGGTGTGATTCAGAGATTTATGACAGATAACAGTATTACAATGTCACTATTTATACAGTTTAAAAATATATATTTTGAAACAGCAATTTCCTATTTGTACTTATAGCCCTATAACTTTCCAAAAAAGCATGTAAACTCTGTGTTTTAAATGCAGGACAAAATTTTGAATCTATCTAACTGCTATCTGGCAGTTTTTTTCATTAGCTTTTGTAGATAATTCAAAAAACATGTTTTTTTTTTTTAAAGTAAATTGTATGACATGATACAAATTATGGTATGTAACGAAAGCCTTTTTGTCCTGAAAAAAACAAATGTATAACTTGTATGGGAACAGTAAATGAGAGAGAGGAAAATTACAGCTAAACACAAACACCACAAAAATGTTAAAACAGCTCTTGTCCTTAACGTACAACATGGCCAAAACAGAGGTTAAACAAAGCTTGTTGATGAAACTTTGCCCAAATGCCTAGAAAGGAGTTTTATCACACACATATATAAAGATAGGCTTATTTCATACATTGTGACTTAGGCTAGGTATACCAATACAGTTAATATAAAGTAATATAGACGTGTGCACAGCAGAAATGTTTTTTTTTGGCTGAACCACTGGAACTTAAAATAAAAAATACAAAAATTCAGGACGGCGGAATTTCATACATATGGTGTTGCGTCAGAAGTTCACCTGCTGAACACAATTCAGACAAACCAAAATGGCACAAAAATCAATGTACTGCTAAATAAATACATTATAGAAATATTAGGTATGTTTTACAATATACTAATGGGATCATTTTAGGTTCACAGATCAAGTGAGGAAAAGTAACCATCTGAACAGAAAAATAAAAGGAGTAATACATCTATATTTATATATACGTATTAAATATGTAATATATGAACAGTGACTTGGTTTTACTGCTCCTCCTTTCCCCTCTCTATTGGTCACTTCTCACTTGATCTGTGATTGAAATCAACATTTAGTGGCTGCCCCCTAACCGTCAATCATCAATTTTCCATCAATCGTTTCTATTTTGGGCACCACAGGGAGAACTCCGAAATACGAATCAAAGCAAACACGCTTGTCTATTGCACAAGTTGTTTGTTTCATGATTAGTCTATATAGCGGTTCGTAAATTGGAAATTCGGACGGTCACCTGATTGCAATTTGTAACTAAACTAATTTCCAATTCTAATGTAATATACGGATTTTTATGAGGCACAGTGCAGCCTTAAACAGCAGCATCAGCTGCCTGCATTTTCTCTTCGACTACTAAAAAAATTGATCATTATTTTTGTCTCCATTATGATTGCAAGGCTAAATAAGTTAACTCTTTCACAGCGATAAATTTAGACACAAAGTTAACGGTTCTTTGACCTTTTTAATCAAGGTACTTACTGCCTTGCAAGCTAGCGAGGGGTTAAGAATTTGCCTATGTTAATTGAATTTAAGTCCTTTACATTTTCTTCCTTTTTGATCTATCATACAATAGAAGCTATCAACAAGAAGATACACAATGAATAATAATCAGAAGCCATCCGAAAGACATTATCCACGAAACTCCATGCCACTGAGGCAAATGGGACTTTAACATATCCACAATTTACTTCCTGTCACTGCTTATTGAATTTTGATAGCTCAAATGAATAATATTGCAGAAAAGCAAGATGTGTGGGGATGGGAAGAAGGGGACCTTTAGCAGTTGGAGAGCTGATAAATAAAATAAAAATAAATGAGGAGTGAAAACCCACTATCCGGGACGTGGCAGATTCTCTCGTTTTGATGACACCTATACAACTGGAAACTTTCTCTTCAATGTAAAAATAATCACCTATATAAAAGGAACTTAGGAATCTCCTGGCAAATCACTATAATTTAAGAAAGTGTCTATTGCAGTGCTTTTCAGGTGTATTGTTTATATGTTAAATTGAACATGGTTAAAAATTGCTAGAAAACACAAGAATATATTTTCCATTTCACTTTTTGATTACAATTTCACCTAATTAATGTGCAGTTTGTATAAGGTAATTTGAAATTGGTATACCTAGCCTAAGTCACCAATTTGAAATTCAATTCACACTTTCCAACTTTCAGGATGGTCACCGAATGTTGGTTGGACAGTGTTGCCATCTGTTGAGGAAGGTAATGCCCAGTCATAAAAATGTAAAACGATGTGACCAAGAAAGAGGTATTTAATTTAATAAGGCTAGGCAGTCCCTCTGGAATCAGGACACTTGGCAGGTATAAACTAGCCATATGAAAAATTATTATTATTATTGCCATTTAAATAGCGCCAACAGATTCTGTAGCACTTTACAATATTATGAGAGGGGGGATTTAACTATAAATAGGATGATTACAAGAAAACTTACAGGAACGATAGGTTGAAGAGGACCCTGCTCAAATGAGCTTACAGTCTATAGGAGGTGGGGTATAAAATTATTAGTAGTAGTATTTTTATATTTGTGAACTTTCCTGAGCCATTACCATTGAGCGCTCTCTCTCTTCTTCTTCTGTGGGAGAGGCAGAATCATAAGCACCAAGCTCAGCCTAGTCATAACATGGGTTACAATTTTCCACAACATTTAATGATACTGACCTCCTCAGGGTACACACACAATGTATTGTTTCAAATCTTTAAATGTTAGTTAAATTCACCAGTATTGATAAAAGATATAGGGATTTGGTCATACCACATGCCTATAATATATCAAACCCAACGTTATATTAAAGTACCCTAATTCAGTGGTAGGTTCAAAATAACTTGTATCATTCAGAATGTTTGGCATATTTTGTATGTGCCTTGTTTTATTTTTCTTCTCTTTCTTTTCAAATATTTTTTAATAAAGGTTTTAGATTTTTACATCAATATATGCAGTACTTTTATATCGAATACATACAAGACGAATTGTATATGGAGATACATACATCAAATGTACAAAAAGAGTACAAACAAAAAAGTTTAGTTTATAAAGTAATTCTTCTTCTCTTTCTGTATATTATGTACAAATTAAGTGAATATCATTAGCACCACTATTAAGTAAGTCATTTTTTGTGTGTGTTTTTTTGGAAAAGAGAGTTTTGACTCTCATGACAATCAGCTATCTGATCCAGAGGCTTTTTGGTCACATTTGGCAAGTTTCTGTCTATGTGCATCACTTTTCAATATTTCTAAAGCAATTTAAACTTTATTCCAAAAAGGTACATTAAATATATGGGCTGCAGGCCCAAAGATACAGACTAATACAGACTGACCCAGAAGTATATTGAACTTGAATTCTTTAAGTGATTGGTTTATTTTGTATTAGACAAAAGAGATTTTAATTGTAGAAAAAAATAATGATTTTCGCACAATCAATGGCTCGAATTTTCAACATGTGAATATCTCTTCTGTATATATATCCTGTAATCCTGTAACTAATTATTACTATTTCACAAGGCCAAGATAAATTATATTACTTAAAGATGACACCAGCTCTAATGT